CGTGTGGAGGAGGGCTGAGAAGCAAAAAGGCTAGAGCAAATGGAGGCCAGAGGAAATTATGGAGCTATGGTGTGACGAGACGGATCGTCCTTTTATTTGTTTGTCCTCGACGTGTATTCAATATGCAAGAACAGCGGTTCGAATTGGCTTCGCTCCCATTTCTTTTGTTTTTCCCAGATGGCCTTCTTGTGATTCGTTTTCACCTGCAGCTCATATTATCCTTGAAAATGCATCTCGTATACATCAGTTGCAGGAAGGATATTGGAGGAGTGGTGTCATTTGCATTGTCTTTTCTTTTTTGTCTTTTTTGTTCCTATTCCATTTTGTTACACCATTTGTTTTACGAATTCGGTACTTTGTACATCTGGTTTATTCTGTTTGGCTGTCTTGAAATCCTATATTTTTTTCCACGGATACAGGCGGCCGTCTTGCAAGGAACAGCCGAGAAAGCAGTCCCAGAAATCGGAAAGATCCCGAGATTGAGTGTCGTGATGTTTCTTTGTCGTTTTTAGCGTCCCCACAATCGCCCCGGACCGCTATGGGTCTTCTGGGATTTGGACCATTGGGATTTTGTTGGCAAGGGCAAGGGGACACAAAAGTACCTTGGTACGATGTTTCCCGGTACTTTGGTCATCGGATCTTTGATCGATAACTCGAGGATATTTTGTTTTGATTCAACAGAGATGCGTGACGGAAATGTGGCAACTTCTATCATAATTGGCAACACTCAATAGTCTCAGGTAAATTATTAAAAAAACTTGAGATCCCTGTAGTCATGCGCAAACTATTTCAGTGCATAAGTATGGTTTGCCGAGACTGAACAACCGCCTGGGCACGACAGAATGTGATAATCGAAGCTGAAGCAGAGCATTAAGCTATTTCAGTATCGCTACCAGACTTGACAGTTCAGCTGCAGCTCAAAGACGGTGCGTTTTGGTGTGGTTTTACAGGTCTACTTGGCGCTTACCGCCACTTGGAAATTGCAGCTTTGGAAAGTACATGGTCCTTGTTGGGAGCTGAAGAATAGAGGCGTTGGGGACCAAGGGTGGTATCGATGGCACAGATCAACCCGAAAGGTTTATTGCATTTCCAGCGAAGAACAAAACATTGGCCACGAAATCGTCGTGTATGCCGTACAGCATTGACACCACATCTGTACGAAAAAGTATTTTGGTCAAGTCTCATTTATTCAATGATCGACGCCTAAAATACGACGTCGGATCTAAGCCGTGAACTGAGATTTCTAGAACACATTCCGAGGGTTTCTGGCCCGCGTTCTAGTATGGACTGGACATAATCAACTTGGGCGGGACGTACCGGCCTTGAACCGTGCAACTGGGGGACCACTTCTGTAGACCACGATCCAGGCCCTGGCGTGACCCTATTGTCAACCTATTTGCGAGTGGCCTGGCCTGGCAAGGCTGCACTATAAAATGACGACCTGAAATTTATGGGTCTGCAGGGAAAGAGTGCAAGAACAGAGCAAAATGGATATGCCGTATTTGTAGAGAGCTGTCTGCATGGATTACGGCAGGCAATGGCAGCGATTATCTGTCGCCTTCACACTCTAGATACTGTCTGTTTTGACCGCTTTTCTTCATTTTCTCACCAGCCCCCCACATGACTGTAAGACTGCCTGCATGTGCTGAATATTGTGCAGCAATTTGTGCACTTTTGAGGTCATGTGAAGCCGCACGTCGTCCTCCTGACATAGTTTATCGTCCCTTGCGGTGTTTCTTTCTTTCTCTTGTCTCCTTCTCTCAGCCACAATTGTCGCATTTGTTATCGGACTGCTTTCTGTTTCACTGTGACTAAGTCGACTCTTTCTTGTTGTAAAATGAGTGGGGGGATGCTATTGTTCCTGACGAGGACTTTTTGATACACCCATACGAAAGAATGTGTGTTAGCCCGCTGAAGAAGTATCTAGGTGTCGTTGTTTGTAACACCCCCGCACAACTGCCCAGGAAGGCCTGAAAACGACAGAAGAGCACATTGAAAGAAACAATGTACCCCCACACCTAAACGTATGTTGTCCGCCTCAGCCAGCTTCCCGGCGTCAACAACCAAAGCGCCAGCGCGGCTGTGATTTGTGGAGACGGAGAGTTATCAGTTGTCACTTCTTTAACGGACAACAGCATCCGATAAAATTACGTCGAAGGTGGTGGATATGAAGGAGGCATGACAAGTTGGAGTAGGGCATCCATGGGAAGACATTTGGGGGGGGGGGAGGGTCAAGGACGGATTGCGCATCGGGCCTCACAAGACTAAACCATATGCGGTCATTTGTGTCCTTTCTGGCGGCTAGGTTGAAACAGTCGCTCCGATAGCCGTGTAGTTCTTTTTCGTAAGGTTTATCCGATTCAAAAGGAAGAGCTCTGCGTGAGACGTGAGATGGGCCGTTGTGTCCGCGGGAAGGACGCAACAAGGAGGCTCCAGATGGGGCGGGCCAGCAGACTCCCACGAGAAATGACACAAAACGAGGACAATAGGACAACCAGGACAAACAAGAACCAACAGATGGCTCACCCAACAGACACACTTGTGATGCACAGAAGTGCGGGAGAAAATGAGAGAAGACGGATAAATTTAAGCGAGCGAGGACAGAGAAAGATGAAAGAATGAGAAGAAAGAGACAAAAAAAGGGGTACCCTGATGTGTGAAAGAGGGAGAACCGTTGCCGCAAAGAGGGACTTGTCCTACGGTTGCACTCGGGAGGAAACAAAGCAAAATCGTGACTGGTTTGGTGACACAAAGTGCTGGACCAACGGGGTCCGGGGTCTCTGCCTTGTCCTCTGTTCGTATTTTCTATTGTTCTGTTGTGTATCGTGGTACAGAATAAATCGGGTAGAGGATAAAGCACATCTAATTACGTCTAATAACGTCTAATTTCTATTTTACTCATTCGCTGCCTCTCTAATGTCACTTTGACGGCTCGTGAAATTCATTTATCACTTTGCGTGAACCATACACAAAACAATATTTTCTTCTTTTCCGTCACACACCAACTACCATGGCACTTACCAATATGTCGTACATTCCCTTTGTTCATATCTTTGAATTTTGTTTTCCTTGTCTCTCGTTTTCTCTCTCTTTTCCTGGCTCTCTCTCTTTGTCTCTCTTTTTTCACTTTTTTAGTCAATTATTTTTTTATTTTTTAGTTGACCTGCCCTTCACACCTCCTGCTAGTACGTCACCGGTCTAGGCCCCTTTGGGCATTGGCCCAGCCAACAACCTCCCTTCCTGCATGCTGTAGCCGCCGCTCCTACCTCAGCCGACGACAGCTCCCACAGCGTGCACCTGCGGCCTGCTGCTCACGAGCTCGCTTTGGCCAGCCAATCGTCAGCCACGGCGGCAAGCTGGTCACATCCCGTGTGCATCCCCAAGACACTCCGCAGTGCTTGGCCTTATCCTTTGTTCCTTTTTTTCGACGACGCCTTTCGTAGTTTTGCTTTCGTCCTTTGCATGTATTTTTTATCCTTTCCATTTTTAGGCCACGTTTCGGAGAATATTCGACCAAGGAGAAAGACTCAGCACAAGATGGTTGGGCTTCGTCGAAGCAGCTCGTTTAACAAAGTACGAGAAGAAGAAGGAAGAGTGTGAATGAAAATACGTCCTCGCCGACTGTGCACCCTTGCGGGTGGGTGCATTGCGAGTGGGTGTGCAAAGGGCGGCGACGGCGGTGAGACAGCAGCCAGTCAAATCAAAGGCAAAAGTGCTGAGATCCCAGAACAGGGCACAAGAACACAGCAGCACAGGACGAGGCGTACAGGAGTACAGCGTACAGGCGTATAGTTGGTGAATTGCTCTGTCCGAGCTGCCTGGAGGCGCCAGTACGGGCTCAATACAAGGTTTGGCTGACTGGGCTTTCTGGGCTTTCTGTGCTTTTTGTGCTCTCTGTGCTCTCTGTGCAGTTTTGCCCTTTCTTGCTGCCAACTTGCCATTTCCTCGCTCCGTAATTCACCTTGCGAGCGGCCCATTAGCCAGACCGTATCTTCGGAAGAGAGCAGCTTGAGCGGCCAGATACAGCGGCCGTTGTGACATTCTTTGCAGCGTGGGCGGTCGCACTGTCGGCCCCACCCACACACAGGGACATGGCACACCTTTCTCTATGCACAGGACATGAGGCTACCTGGTACGCCGACTTGCTGCACGTCGCATCCCGCCCCATCTGCATGCGGTTTTCTTTTGTCAACATATTGACAAGGACTCTGCAAAAGAAATGTGTGCATCGCACTTGCGTTCCTTGTCCGTTGTTGCCCGTGGTCGCCCGTGGTCGCTCCTTCCTTGTGGACGACACAGCATCCACTGGCTCCTTCTTTGTCGATTCGGGACGTGGTACCTTTTGGCCCCCAGCGCTCTTTCTTAGAATGGCCATTTTCCTCGCATCGCGTTGTTGCCTTCCCGTTTCTTTGCTTTTTCGTATTGTTTTCCCTTTTCCTCCTTCCGTAATATAAGTAGCATCGTGTCCCCTCCTCAGGGACCCAAGTTGACCTTTTGTGCCTTTCATTTTCAACATCTGCACCCAACGCTACCAACGGCCGTGCGTTTGCTGAGCCCGCTGCACGACCTCGTCTACGTTCACCGAGATTGTTTGACGACCGGATATCGACGAGATTGGTTGGCTCGACCCTTGTCACTGGTCTCCTTTCACTTTATCGCTTTATCTGCACCACCACCGACCGCTCCAAACATCGCAGCTGTCCGCCATTCTCCGCCATTCCGTGGCACATTGCAAGGTCCCTGCACAAAAGCAGTGCCACACCGGGTTCGTCTCTTGTACGCCATCTCTGGTTCCTTTAGTCTGTCTGCTGTGCCCGTGGCATGCAACCAGTCGTTTTCGCGTTGATGTTTCTAGTTTCTTCGTTGGCTTCTTGGGCCTCGCTCTAGCTCGTCTCCCCTAACAGCGTCTTGTTTTAAATACAGTCAGGATCTCGCCACTGACTTTCTTTCTCGACGGTAAAGGTTCTCATCCCTTGCCAAACATTCTTTCGTCTCAAAAAATGGCACATGTGGCCTTCACCCCGGATGCGGCCGAGTCGATCTCGACGCCCGCATCCGATGCCCAGTCCGTATCGTCTCCCATAACGCCTCGCGATACGCATCCGGCCTACAGCCCCAGTGCCATTTACTCCAGGAGCACCGGGCAGCCGTCCCCGTCTGCGCGCTCCGTACACTCCGTGCAGTCGGGCGAGTCCAGCACTGGAAAACGGCGGTTGGGTCTGCTCGAGTATCCGACAGTCCACGAGGATCTCCAGTTCTGCCGGGAGGTTCGAGATAAGTTCACGGCCTATCAGAGAGACAACCCCACGGCCACGCCTCTCGACCTTGAGCAAGTGGCGCTGACCAGTCTCGCCCATCTCCGGGCGACCTTTGAGGACATGTGCCACATCCCCCCGCCAGAATGTGTCTTTTACCAATGGTCGTACCGCCAAGCCCACAGCGCGGATGCCGCAACGTCGGGGGGCGACGTGTTCCATTTGCTTCATGCCCACTGCTACATGTTTGACTATGACCCCAACGATACCGGCACTAGCTTTCCAGTGCCTGACCAGAGCCAAGTTATGGCCGTCATCAATCTTGTCGGATGCCAGCCGACATCGCTGATGCTAGCGTTTGGTCTTCGCCGTGGCCTGAGACGGAGTACCACCGAGGGCCGCGAAATCTTTTGGACGATATACAGCACGCTGGCAGACCTTTCCAGCACCATTTCCGAGGAGTTTTTGAGGGCACAGCCGTTCTTGGACCGCAGTGTGCAGCTAATGGCCACAGTGCGTGCCCAGCGCGGCGCCACTGGTGCCCTGGCATATTCCGGCGTCTTCCCGACCCGCGCCGAGGTCAGCTACGCCATGGAGATGTATGCCGCGGAATCCCGAGCAGCTGCAGAGAAAGCCGGCGCCGGTCTCGCCCTTTCTTCGTCTGCGCGCAGAGGGTCCTCCCTGAACTTTACCATGCACCGCCTTGACCGGCTCTTCCAAGGCATCGAGGTGCCGGACGACGGCGCTCCTGCTGCTTCCATCGCACAGTCCCAAACACAGCCTCAGCAGCTCTTTGGTCTATCTCCTTTGCTACTTGCGGAAAACATTGGCGGCGCGGACAAGGGCGCTTCGCCGCATGTGCCACATCCGTCGTCGGGTCAGTCATCACATGAAGCGCCGTACCAAGATTTCGAGCCGGACGAACCTGTTTTCTATTACCAGAACCCACACTAACAATAAAAGCGATGTAGATGATGCAGATGATGTAGATGATGCAGACGCCCAAGAAGACCGCACTCCCTCTACGAACTCGACCTCGGCGTCGCCGGTGATGACTGACCGAATTCTGCAACGCTCCTCAACCACTGATCCTCCAATCACTCCTGCAGAGGTCACGATTGCACACGCCAGCTCCGCAAGACCAGCGTCGGACGTCATCAAAGACTCCCCTCAGCCAACTGATCCGTCCACCGACGCATCGAGACCTACGCCTCGGCCGGCCAGAGCCAGCCATGGGCGACTACCCACCCGTCGCCGGGTGCCGCCTTTGGCAACCATTAGCTGTGGGGATGTCTCCGAGCTGCTCAAAGAAGAGAATAAGTTGCACGAAAAGTTTCTCGACTTTGTGGCTCGTTTCCACGACAACGTGACCGAAGACGGCGCCCGAAGCCTCGAAAGTCTTGTACAGCAACACACTGATCTTTTGTATCATCGGGAGCAACAGCAATGCCGACGGGAGCTGGCTGCTCGTCTGCACCCTTCCCGTGGTACGCCTTACTACAGCCACCACCAACCTCAACCCCCGACCCAAGCAACAACCGGAGGTACAGCATCGGCCGGAGTTCAGGGCCCGGCTGCGAACAGCACTGGAGCGCACAACAACGACGGCGGGAACAGCAGCAGAAATAGCAACAACGGCGACGGCGATAGCAGGAATAGTAACAGTACCAGTAACGGCAACAGCAACAGCAACAGTGGCAACAGGGACACCAATCGTGGCTCCCACGCACCTGGCTACGTTTACATTGACATCCCCAGTTTGTACAGCAGTGCTGCATACACCGGAAACAACTTTGGCAACATTTTTACTGCACCGCCTGCGCCGGACCCGTTTGCTTATCACATTCACAACCAGCCCGGTCGCTTGCGTCAACCACTCGGGCAGAACTACCCGCAACATGCATCGGCACCGTCAATGCCGGCACCACCGCCGCCGTACGAGCCGGCAAGTCAGCGTTTGCAGCCTGCCATTGGCCCTCCGATCCCATACAACTTGTCCTTGCCATCACTCGACCAGACGGAAGTTGTCGCGCCACAGCCGCTCCGGCCAACGCTGCCGGCCCTCGCTATTCCGCCGCCCACACCCGTGCCGAGATCGCTGATTGAATCCCGGCTTCGGGACGGTGCGCGTACCGAGGGCTACGCGACGCTGCTCGAGGCTCTGCATGCGCTACCGCCAGCTCCTCTGGCCGAACAGAACGAGATGGCTCGCCAGCAGTATGAACGGTACCACCAACAGCAGCAGTACCAGCTCGAGCTCCAACGGCAGAGCCAGGAACAAGACAGGATGATGCAAACGTACCAAGAGCAACGGCTGCAGCACCAGCGACACATTCTCACGCAACAGGCCATTATCCAGAGAGAGCAGCTGGCCCAGCTGGAGTACATGCAGCATCAGCACCAGGTCCACCTGCTGCGGACCCTCCACACGCACGTCTTGCAGGAGGCCGACGCGCAGAGACGGGCACACCGCGATTCGACACCCGGAGAGAGCCGTACACCGAGCAACGACGATGACGATCCTGTTTTCAACACCTACACGGGGCTGGCAAATGAGGAATCCGATGTGGCCTCTGATGTTCACGACGATGACCCGGAACACGAAGAAGACGACTACCCAAGCGTGCCTGTCTTGGCGGGCTACGACGAAGATGAAGACGTCTCGTACATACCCCCCTTTGCACACCACCGCACCGTTGACGATGCGCCACCTGATGTCGCTAATACGGAGCCGCCGCTGTATACCGTGTCTCAAAACCGACCTGCGTTCGGGGATGTATCTAGTCTTCCGATCCGCCCCGTCGCAATGTCGTCTTCTACCTCGCCACTGCGCGCGGCAATCGCCAATGCGAGAAATGGGACCGAAGTTCACGATCAGCGGGATACTGATGGAGCTGGTTCCAGTCGTCAGGATGCTGACGAGGACGAGACCCTCTATGGATGATTTGATTTTCTATGTTGTGATTGAGTCGTGCTCTCCTTTGCCTTTCTTTCCGCTGGTATTCACCTGCGAGACACCATTTGTTTTTTTATGCTTGTCACAATGTCATGATTGTTTATTTAATGGCCCATATGTCATCTGAATGCTTACATTACCACATTGCTCAGTCATAAAGCATGAAACACAATGCTCACCGTCTTGCAACTCGTAAAGTGATTCAAAAACGTACATTCTATTGCATTCTATTCCGAAGGATTCAATATCACTAACCAAACGTGCAATGATGTCCCGCCATCCTCTTAGATGGAGTATGCCCGGCCCTGGATTCTGGGTGGAACTGACACCACCGACTCGTCATCGCTGTCGTCCAATGGCGACTCCGCGTCCACCACGCCGTCAGCCACTGGCACAGCACTGCGCCTGTTCTTGTTCCCATTGTGGGCCTCCAAGCGGTTCGGAAGGACTCTGGGGAGAGGGGCCCGCGGTGCCAGATCCGCAGACGGAGATTGCGCCGGTCGCACCGGTCGCACCGGTCGTGCTGGCCGTGCCTGTCTTGCTGGCTCCAGCCGTGCCGGACGTACGACTCTGGCGTGCTCCAAATCCTCGTCATACCATGCGAGGTAGGCTTGCCGAGGCTCCGGGGCCAGGAGATGGCCCGTGGCAGTGTTGTAGATGGCGCGGATCGGCCGGGGCTTCCGTTCCTTGCCCTCCTTGCCCTGCTTGGCCTGCTTGGTGGCCGGTGCCGGTCGTCGCAGGTGTTGTTGCGCCGGTGATTGGGGGTCGGGGGGGAGACCGGCTCGCGCGGCATAGCCGGCGAAGTAGTTGTTGCGATGCATCCGGCTCATCGTGCGGTTGTATTGGAGTCTTCTGCCGTAGTTGTTGTGGTTGATGTGGTTGTTGTGGTTGTTGTGGTTGTTGTGGTTGTTGTGGTTGTTGTGGTTGTTGTGGTTGTTGTGGTTGTTGTGGTTGTTGTGGTTGTTGTGGTTGTTGTGGTTGTTGTGGTTGTTGTGGTTGTTGTGGTTGTTGTGGTTGTTGTGGTTGATGTGGTTGTTGTGGTTGTTGTGGTTGTATGTGGTTGTTGTGGTTGTTGTGGTTGTTGTGGTTGTTGTGGTTGTTGTGGTTGTTGTGGTTGTTGTGGTTGTTGTGGTTGTTGTGGTTGTTGTGGTAGAAGTTGTTGTGGTAGTAGTTGTGGTAGTCGTTGTAGTTGTTGTAGTTGCTCTTGTTGTAGTAGTTGTTCTTATTGTTCTTATTGTTCTTATAGATGTCGTTCTCGCCGTTGTTCTTCATCTTCTTACTTTTGTTGTAGTTGTTGTCGTTGTTTTTGTTTTTGTAGCTGTTGTCCTTCTTGTCATAAATATCGTTCTCGCCGTTGTTCTTCTTCTTGTTGCTTTTGTTGTCGTTGTTGTTATTGTTGTTGATAATATTACTCTTCCTCGGTCGCCAAAACAACATCTTCCGAGTGACGGCCTGGACGCCTCGGGCCACGCCGCGAAAGGCTCGACGAGCCACATTGCCCGATGTTTTGTCCATCATACAGATGAATGCTTTTGATGGGCGTTTGGATTCCTGCAGGTGCGTGTAGATTTAATTAGGATCTAAAATCACTTTATTGTAAAGTACCGAGAAACGGGCTTCATGTTTCTTTGTCGTTCCAATTTGATCTCTGCGGACAAGTTTACTCTTGTTCTGATGGCTCCCTTCGAATCTAGAAACAGGTAGAGTCGATAACGAGGCGTTGTTGTCGAAAAGAATGGAAGGTAGGTTGGTCGTTTGTCTCAAGGATATCCTCAGCAATATGTCTTGTTGATGTTTTTCGGTCGTATTGCTCTTCTTGTCTTGTTATGTGAACGAATAGACAATGCCAAGTGAAGATGGTAACAGTCACTTTCTGAGGATAGGTTGGCGCGAACTCAAAATTATGTAAGTATTGTTGGAAATATCCATGGTACTGTGCGCACAAAATTCGCTGTAATACACTGGCTGACTACGCGTAGTGCAGCTTTGGCATATTGCCATACTTCCGGGACTGGGAACATGTGTAAGAGCACAGTACATGGCGATGGGCCTTGTGGTCCCGTTGTCAGCAACACTCTGAAGTTTCAAGACTGCGGTGGAAATCTTGGGTGGACATGTCAAGTCTCTTTCTCCGTAGAACAGCACATGTCTGTCATTATGGGAAGAGGTGAGTAGTCGTAAGCGTCACCATCAGAAAAACTTGTCACCATTGTTCCCATATCGCCTGCAAAGTAGAAAATAATAAAACAATACAGCAAGTATCCGTGATAAGTAAGAGATGTGTGGTATAATACTAACAACAACAATAATAGAACGCCGTAAACATGCAATGATACTGTGATATCGTTGTACTCGAGTAGAAAAGGTAGAAACAGTAAAATAGCAGGAGCTATGTGTGCTTAGTCAGTAGCAAATGTTGGACAGCTGTTGGGTATCTTTAGGTGATAAGGTCACCGCTGCCGGCGGGTTGCCGAGGACGCCATAGGGTCGCTATTGTTGTTGTTGGGGTTGGGCGTCACGACGGTGTCCTCCACTTTGCTGGCGAGTGCCTCATCCAACACGGACTGTGTGAACGAGACGTCTAGAAAGTCAATACGAGTGTACAAACAATAACAAAAAAAAGAGGAAGAGAAAGAAGAGTCGACAGAGACAAGAAACGTACCGTCAAGATCACTGAAGCTGCTGCCGATGCTAGGGGTGGTGCCAATCTCACTGCCTTCGCGCGAGATGCCCGAGGCGGCCCGGGCGGCGCGGACGGCCGGGCTGCGTGCGGACAGCGTGTGTTGGAGGCGTGGCGGCGATCGGATGCCGGGAACACGGGACGACTGCAAGCGCGCGGCAGCCTTGGCGCTGGCGCTGGCGCTGGCCGTGGAAGAGGAGCCCAGCACGGCAGTAGCAGCGGCTGCTGCCGCGGCCGCCACGGTGGGCGTCTTAAAGGCTTTGGTGGTGGGTGACGCTGAGGCAGACGAGGACGGCGATGCGGAGTCGGCAGTGGAGTGTCGTTTCTGATGATGCTGATGGTGTTGATGGCGTGGATGCGGCCTGCTTCCGCTACCGGTGCCTGTGGGATGCGTCGCTGTGCTGCTCGCTTTGCTGCTCGCTTTGTACCGCAAAAAGGCTGCCTGGGTTTCAGACTCGTCGCCGTCCCCATCGGCATCGGCATCGCCGTCGTCTGAGCCGCCCGATGAGATCCCCAGGCCAATGACGCCAAAGTCACCGTCACCTGCAGCGTGTGATTTGCTGCCCCGGTCTCGTGTTTGCTGCTGCTGCTGTGGAACATGTCCTGGAGGGCGTCGGAAGATGCGCGACATGACAGGCTCCGACGGGGTGGACGACGACGACGAGCTCGAGTCCGACGTGGCTGCGGGCGATGAGGGTGCAAAGGCCTCGCCCTCGCCCTCGCCCTCGTCCTCGCCCTCGAAGTCGTAGGAACCAGGCCGCCCGCCAGCCGCATCCATGGGTTGTGCCGGGCGAAGGGACAGTCCGCGGCCCACGGGCGATGCCACCGAACCACCGGCAGCACCAGCCGCAGCAGCAGCTGTCTGGGGCGAAAACGACGAAATGGTTTGTAGCGTCGGCCGGATGGACCGGCTCGGGCGAATCTGGCTGTCCTCCATGGACGGGCGACGTGAGCCACTGCTGCCGCCCACGGCACCCGGGGTTCGTGGCCCTGGCCCTGGCCCCGCACGACTGCCTGCCGATGCTGTCCGCCGCATGGTCTCTGCCGAGGCCGTCCGCGCGCCAGCACCGGAGCCGGACGGTCCGGCACCGGCACCGGCACCAGCACCACCGCTCGACAACGTTCGTCCCATAGCCTCGGAGGTCAGCGAGGGCGAGTTCACCGGCGAGTCGCGGCCGGCCGCGGTGTTTGGATTGGCCGTGCTGAGCGTGGCCACCTTGCGCGTCTGCGCGCGGACCTGGGAGACGTGGCGTTCGGTGAGGACGGTGGCCTGGACGAGGAGGAAGTCGACGGTCGCATCGAACGTCTGTGCTCTGTTGGGAGAATTGTTGTTAGCACGGGTCCCTGCATGACAAGGGGGGATGCGGGGCAGAGGGAGCGCAGAGAGGCCGCTGTGGGCTTGTTTGGTCGTACAGTTCTTCCCCTGTGGTACACGCGTTAGTCCTGTTCAACCTCCATTCCCAGACAGAGAAACGTACAATTAATATCGTTCTTGGACGCGCGGGACAGAATGCGCCACAGTGCGTCGTCCTTGTCCTTGTTCCAGTCGACGTCGGGCGGATCGACAAAGCCGTTTCGCGGCGCCGGCACGCGAATGTAGACGGTGTACTGGGGCGGTGGCTGCTCAGGCAGCGCGGGCGATCGCGCCGGCGACTGTGCGGCTTGCTTCTGTGCGGGCGACGGCTGCTGCGGATCTTGCGACTTTTGCCGGCGCATCGACGTCGATGCAGGTTGCGGTTGCAGTGGCGGCGGCGGCTCGTCGACGGGGTCGTCTGGAAAGCGCAGCGGCAGGTCCAGCGCCTGGTCGTGCTTTGGGTCAAAGTCCATTGTCGCGGTCGATGGGGGGCCGAACCGGGCGGCAGACGACAGAGGAAACGAAAACGAAAGAAATGGTCGCGTGCGATTAGAGAGACATTGGGATCGTGAGAATGGAGGGCGTCGAGCATCAAATGTGCTTTGCGGAGCACAAGGTGTCAGTCATCGAGTGAATGGCAAGGCCATAAGAACAGCCTTTGATGGGGGTCAGTGTCTGCGCAGCCTGGTCCGGATGGGTCGCGAGGCTCGTTCGGAGAGGCAGAACGTGGGAGGACGAACGAATGGGCGAATGACGACGCCAGCCTGACGTGAGGAGAGGCTGAAGCTGGAGATAGTGAGCTGTTATTGGCCCACGGTCTCGGTTTAGTGGGGACTGCAGGAGCTCTCGTGGGGCACTGACAAGCGTTCAGGGTCATTTAGTTAGGCACCCCAGACGCTAGATCGGGTGCCTGCGGCGGCACCTATCAACGGTTCCCAGGGATGCGGTTTAGCCGCTGTGAATGGAGGACGGAGAGTCCTGTTGTACGTACTTTTGTATTTCGTGTACCGGACGACAGTGAGACCACGAACCGATGTTGCATTCTTGTACGAACGGTTGAAGTAAGTAAGACGGCCGAGAATGTGATTTAAGAACTATTGTTATAGCGCTGCTTCTACAGCTGAGAAGCTGCACACATAAGATACCTACGAGTGCTGTAACCCCGCTGAACAACGTCAGCGGCCAGCAAGCCGCGTTGTCAATATGTTGTATGTTGTAATTACATTGGATAAAATTCACTTTACATTTCACATTGGTCATTTTGTTGTCTTGGTTAATAGAATATTTGTTAGTCTTAAAGTTTTTTTTTAAGTTCTATTTCAAAGATATAATATCTTACGCAAAAGGATCCGTTTGTAATTAAGTCCAAAAGAAAAGGGGGAAAAAAGAAAAAGAAAAGGAAAAAAAGTGAGACTGCCACTACACTAGTAGTGTATCTGCTTCACCAAAGTGAGTTACGAAAACACTTGTTCTCGCCGAGTCCAGAGGTGGAGGAATGCCCTTCATACCTACATGAAAGGGTCCTCCTCGTCCTTGATCGCCATCTTCTCTTTGCCCTTGCCCTTGGTTTCCGGCGTCTCGTCCTCCGCCTCCTCGGGCGGCGGCGTCCGGTGTTCAAAGCGCTGCAGGTTCCCGGGGCCCAGGTCAAAGGCCGGCGGCTGGTGCAGCTCGACGTTGTCGGTAGCATACGGGTCGCCCGCGCTGAAAAAGGGGCGCCGGCCCTGCAGGTGGCTCGTGTCCTCGACGCGGTCCAGGACGTCGTAGCCGACATGGGCGCGCCGGGCCAGCGGCGAGAGAATGTCGTTGTAGAGGTTGCGGCGGGTGCGCCGGCGCAGAAGAAAGGCGGTGCGGGCGTCGAGGGCGTCCCGGTTGCGCTCGCGGTTGCGCTCGCGGTTCTGCTGCCGGTCGGCCGGGGACGGCACGGCCTGCGGCGTGAAGCCACTGCCGTCCTGCGCAAAGTTGTCCATGCTGCGCAAGAACTCGGGCGATTCAGGGGCGAGGTTGGGTTGCTCGGGAGAAGGGCTACGGCCACTGCTCGCATGAGACAAGAAGAGACCCGACGGCAGACTAGACGAGAGGAGACTCGACAGATCCGACGAGAGGAGACCCGACGGCAGATCCGACGGCGGGGACGGGTTGCGGGGGCGCGCGGGCTGCGAGGACGGGAGCGAAGGGGACGGCTCATGCATGTCGTTGGCAAACTCACCGTGGCTCCGCGGACGCACCGAGGCGGGCGCCAGACGCTGCGCCGGCCGCTGCAGCGGCCAACGGTCCGCCACCATGCGGTCCGGTGCCGACCGCGCCATGTCGCGCATCTGCAGGCGCATGCGCCGCCCAGCCAGCATCGCCTGCTGTTGTTCGTCCTGTCGAAGGTCAGCCGAAGACAGAGAGCTCAGCTCATCAATGGTCTGGTCGGCCAAGGCGCGGGCGTCGTCGTCCATGTCGTCGCCGTGGACATCCGTCTCGTCGTCCTCGTATACCTCAAAGTCCTGGTCATTGACCAACCAGTCGGAAGCCTGGTTGTTGTTGTCGTTGTTGTCGTCCTCGACCAAACCCGAAGTAGAAGTGGTGGAGAATTGCAAGTCGTCAAAGGACGGAATAGGTTGGACCGTCGGCGTGGACCGACGCGGAGGGCTAAAAGATATCAAGTCAGACGAAGTGGAAGCGGAAGCATCACGAGCCAAGTCACCATTCCCACCCTTGTCCTCCACATTGTTGGCAAGGCCAGCAGGAGACATGAAGCTCATTTTGGCGGTTGTTAGTATGGGAGAGATTCCAAAGTGCGAATGTGTACGAGTCGAGGTGCTGAATTGTTGCTGAGTTGATGTTCTTCTTTGTTGTTGAAGAGCAGAATCACGCCAGATTTTTGTCGAGAGCCATGGCATCTATATATACCAGTTTGCATTGCTGGTGAGAACATCTCCCATGTTCAGATACAAATCCAAGTCCACTGAACAAATGGCAGTTCAACGACACATTACAATGGTGAGCTTTTCGTGTGCTGTTTGACTACACAATGCAGCTGTTCATGTTTCAAGGATGCCATGATGTGCTGTTCACGTTGGTATGCAGGTGGGCGGAACAATGACATCTCGTACCACAAACATGAACATCGATTGTGAACAATGCTGGACGTTGACATTGCACCAGATCAGCGTCTTTGTGTCTGCGGGATGCCCTGGTGTGGTCGAGCCAGGCCCGACCGGTTCTGCAGTGTTGATAGCGTAAATTAGCGTACGTTCTGCCGAGACCCGCTTTCCGCACCGTCTCCACATGGCTCCGATGTTCCTCCTGCATCGCCCAAGTCGCCCATTTAATTCGACATGACGATTGCGCCGTCAAATCAGTTACAGGGCCTTTGGTCTAGTGGTATGGCGTTCGCTTAGCATGCGAAAGGTCCTGGGTTCGATTCCCAGATGGTCCATGAGCGTTGTTGTCTTTTTGTGGCATTACGCGTTTCTGGAAGGACATCGTGAACTTTTTGGTGTCTCCACTTGTTGCCTTTCTGATTAGGGTGAAGTGTTTTTTGGGGGGTATGGCAGGTTTTGCTGTCATGTCTTTTGGATGTTGTGGCTTCCGTTATCCTACGTCCGTGTTCTCTCCAAGCTGAGGCTTTAGACCAGGTTGTCTGAAGCGTCGAGTGTGTGTGCGTTGTGTCCAAGGAGTTTTATTATTAAGTGTTCTAGAAGTTGTCCGCCGTTGATAAGCAAGTAAGGACACGTTAGGAAGATGAGGATACATCTTGGGGCGTGACAACAACACATGTCCACCCACCACGATACCACAGCCTACTCAATGTGCTCCGGTCTAACCATCGGTTTCTGATCGGCCGAAAGCTCACCGTCGTCCTTGACCGAGACGACGTGGTCGCCAAAGGCGGCGGCAATGCCCTCGAGTGTCTTTTGCTTTGTTTCGCTGACCATGTGTTAGTGGGGGGCAGTGGAGGAGCTGTGGAGGAGCTATGTGGCACCAACCAAGTGGCACCAATGGAAAACGGAGAGGAGGACACGTACGGATAGTAAAAGTAAATGATAAAGGAGTAGACGACGCAGCAGCCGACAAAGACGTAGTAGTAGTTCTCGCCGATGGTGGCAAACGCACTGGGGCCGGCCTCGGTGACTGGACAGTTAGGGCATGTTCATAAACAGGGTGCAGCGGGGCCGGGGGGGGGGGGGAAGGGGCATCCGGGGGGCAGGGGAACGTACTGCCCACGTTGACGACGTAGTGGCAGGTGGCGGCGATGCCCATGACGCGGCTGCGGATGGCAATGGGCAGGACCTCGGCACCATAGATCCAGGTGACGGGGTTGATGAGACAGTAGTAGCCGACGACAAACAAGTAAATGCCGAGCAGCGCAAAGCCCTTGCCGACCTTGTTGTCGGTGTGCTGGAACTTCCACTGGAGGATGGCACTGTAGACCTCGGTCCAGACGACCCAAGCCATGCCGGCGAGGAGCATGTTGCGGCGGCCCCAGCGGTCGGGCAAGAAGACGATGGAGATGGCCGTGGCCAGGAAGGCGCAGGTGCCCCAGACAGCGGCGAGGGCGAGGATCGTGTTGGACGTGATGCCGAGAGACTTGTACAGGGAGGCTGGCGATGGTTAGGATACTGTTGTCGATTTGTAGATGTAATGTACGTTTACTGAGAGGAGACAAACTCACTTTGGTAGTACTTTGACGAGCAAGGATTAGTAAAATGAACTGTGTAAGGAGGGAAGACTGGCCAAGCCTGCTTACCTGGATGACATTGACGCCCGTGATGCTGGTCAGAACTTGGACCGAGACGGACCTGCGCATACCGTGCTTAGTACAGCGGCTATTCAACAAGGGGGACACGACAGCCAGACATACACTAGAATTCGGTGCCGGTACAGCCGCCACATCTCCCGCCACGAAGGGATCTCGCGCTGCTCTTCGTACTCGATCTGCGCCTTCATGAGGGCAAACTCGCCGTGCACCGCGTCCGACAGCAGGTCGCTCCGGATGCGCGCAAACACGGCCTGGGCCTCGTCGAGCTTCCCGCGCTGGATCAGCTGGCGCGGCGACTGCGGCATGAAGGTGACGAGGCCGAGGAACAAGATGATGCCCCAGGGGATTTGGAGGGCGAGGGGGAGGCGCCACTGGACCTGGCCGTAGGGCGCATAGCCGCAGGCGAAGCCCAGCCAGTTGGAGACCATGGTGCCGAGGGCGAGGCCGGCGCCGTTGAGGCCGCCAATCATGCCGCGGATGTTGGGCGGGCTGATTTCCGACAGGTAGACGGGGACGGTGCCGCTGAGGGCGCCGACGGCGATGCCGGCGAGGACGCGCCCGGCCAGGAACATGCCAATGTTGACGGAGCCGGTCTGGATGGCGCAGCCGATGGTGACGAGGACGCACTGCAGCTGCATGAAGCGGAGGCGGCCGAGGCGGTCGGCGAAGAGAATCTGGCTGACGGCGCCAATGGCCTCACCGGCAATGTAGATGGCCGCGACGGAGCCCGTGAGGCCATTGGACGGGTGCTTCATGTACTCGACCCAGCTGGGGTGGGCAATGGCTGTGGCTGTTAGCAAGTGGACAGGAGAAGGAGACAACGTGTTGTAGTCTCGACGCACTTGTAGTTGCAATGCCCGTATCGACGCCCTATTTTGTTAGCCGTTGTCGTCGCGTGAAAGATGTGTGTTATGGACCAACGTACATAGAGAAACGTGCCCATGCAGGCAAAGGTCGCCACGAGGATGGGATATGCGTCCTTCATCCTGGCGAGTTGACCGTGTTGATCGTGTATTGGCGACAATGGTGTGATGCCAAGGCTGAAGATGGGCAGACACAGAGAGGAGACGCTGTAATAGCTTAAAGAATCCCAAACAGCAACAATAGGAGCAAACAATGAGAACGACGTCGGAGAGCGAAGCGGAGACCGCCACGACACGTTTAATACAAATGAGAAACGGACCGTGCCCCCGTCCTCTCTCTCTCTCTGGAAGCCAAGGACGATCAATGGCAGTTGACAGGAAGCTCGGTAATGCAGATGATCTATCACCATAACGGCGGGTTCTTCCCCTCATGCTGCCCACAGACGACGTTGCAGTAGTTGCAAAAAGCCCGGCAGATCATTGTCTGTCATACCCAAGAGAGTAGAAATTCCAAGACCCCAGAGTTGGCACCCCGCAAAATGGGGACGTGAGATGCGGAGATGCGGAGATGCGGAGGGCGTCTCGGGGTGTCCTGGGTTGAAGTGTACAGAATAGAGAATTAGTAAAAGAGGTCGAAATAGGAAAGGAAAGTAAAAACCAAGAAACCTGGTTTCGGTCGCAAGCCAAGAATGCCAGGACCCCATTTACACCGTTTCCGCACTAGCAGGGGTTGGCGGTGTCACGGTGTGAGAACTACAGTTCAATGATATCCCGGACCGGCATTTGACTAGGGCGTCATTCACATTGACTGGACACAGCGTTCTCCGGCCAGTCGGTCTGTTTCTTGCCGTTCTGCTGTTTTGTCCGTGTTCGGCGCTGTCGAAGCCGAGTTTCGCTGACATGGCTCAACTTATATTCATCCAATAATTGCATTTGGTTTTGTTGTCTTTTCATTTGCTAGCATTCGTTTGTTGCCACAGACGCTCCCAACAGCTACCATTCAGCCTCACTGTCGATTCCACATCATGTCAACAAACGGCACGAACAGTGTCCACACCAACGGCACCAACGGCTCCGTCAGCATGGCCGAGAAGCTCAAAAACAATCGTGCGCGGCGCATCGTCGATGCCGCCGCCGCCGGTGGCTATGCCATCCCGGCCGTCTGCTGCTACACGCTCGAGGCCGTTATTGCCACGGTGCGCGCCGCCGAGGCCAAGCAGTCGCCGGCGCTGATCCAGCTGTTCCCCTGGGCCATCGAGTACGCCGACGGCTTGCTGCTGCACGCGGCCGCCGAGGCCGCCGACAAGGCGTCGGTGCCGATTGGCGTGCACATGGACCACGCGCAGACGCCCGAGATTGTGCGGCGGGCGGCCGACCTGGGCGGGTTTGACGGCATCATGCTGGACATGTCGCACTACGACAAGGAAGAGAACCTGCGGCTGACGCGCGAGCTGGTGGCGTACTGCAACGCGCGGGGGATCGTGACAGAGGCCGAGCCGGGCCGCATCAACGGCGTCGAGGACGGCATCGAGGACACGGGCGACATGGACGAGATCCTGACGGGCCCCGCCGAGGCCGAGGACTTTGTGGCGTGCGGCATCGACTGGCTGGCGCCGGCGTTTGGCAACGTGCACGGCGTGTACGGCCCCAAGGGCCCGCAGCTGCGGTTTGATCTGCTGACGAGCGTGCGCGCGGCCGTCGGCGACCGCGTGCGGCTGGTGCTGCACGGCGCGCACGAGCGCTACTTCCAGGAAGAGCTGCTGCGCACGTGCATCCAGCACGGCATGGCCAAGGTCAACATCAACGGCCCTGTGGCGGCGGCGTGGACGCAGGTGCAGGGCGAACTCAGCGGCAAGGTGTCGCTGACGGCGCTCGTCGAAAAGCAGACCAAGGCGATGCAGGACGTGGTCGAGTACCACATGGACTACCTGATGTCGACGGGGAAGGCGGGCGACGTGGGGAAGGCGGCATAGACGGCACGCCAAGGATGTGCCCTTCCAAAGATAGACCCAATAGAATATCGTCCAGTTTCATGTCCTTATTTTGAGCACCCTGTGTCATGCTCCCCGCACCGGTCTGTCCATGGTTTTGGCTTGTGATCACGGCTTGCGCCATTGTCGCTGAAAACCGTAATGTTGTACAATCCGGGTCAATGATGCTGCGCATCGGTCTCGTGCGGTTTTTAGCAAGGTGGAGGTGAGACCGGCTTGCAGCGAAGTGGACCTACCCCGACACGGCGCATTTTTGCACCGCACGAAGAACTGGAGATGCGGGGTGTGCCACGGGGGAATTGAACGGGTATGCCGTCAAGTTGTGGAAGCGTGGGTGCGACGATGCGTCCACACGTGCATAGGTGTCAGTATAACTGTACGCCGCAGGGCGTCACGTTCACATCGACGCGGCACGGATGGCCCAATGTGGACAGCCAACCGTCGACACCATGAAGCCCAAGGCCCTCTTGTTGGGGCGCATTGACCAGTGCGTTGTTTCTGCTGTTGTGTGATTCTTGTACTATGTCAACCACTCACACATTTTTTTTTCTTTTCCAGCGCCACGGCATCGTGGCAGGCGCTCGCCGACCTCGCCGACCCGGTCGACCTCGTGACGACCGCCGCGACCTCCCGTGCCGAACTTCTTGCCGAGTGCCGCAGCGGCGCCCTCGACGGCGTCGTGGCCATCTTTGACCGCGCGCCGCACAGCACGTCGACGACGGGCCCATTCGACGAGGAGCTGATCGGTGCGCTGCCGGCCAGCGTGCGGTTCCTGGCGCACAACGGCGCCGGCTACGACAACATTGACGTGGCGGCGTGCACGCGGCGCCGCATCCGGGTGTCCCACTGCCCGCGCGTGGTCGACGAGGCGACGGCGGACACGGCCGTGTTTCTGATCCTGGCGGCGCTGCGGGAGTTCAACAACGGCATCATGGCCATCCGGCAGGGCTCGTGGACGGGGCTGCTGCCGCCGGAGCCGCTGGGGCACGACCCGCGGGGCAAGGTGCTGGGGATCCTGGGGCTCGGCGGCATTGGGCGGTGTCTGCAGCGCAAGATGGCCGCGTTCGGCATGACCGAGGTTGTGTACCACAACCGGACACGCCTGCACCCCGACGACGCGGGCGGTGCCGAGTATGTCAGCTTCGACGAGCTGCTGGCGCGCAGCGACGTGCTGAGCCTCAACCTGCCCCTCAACGCGGGGACGCGCAACATCATCTCGACGGCCGCGTTCGCGCAGATGAAGCGCGGCATTGTGATTGTGAACACGGCCCGGGGCGGCGTGCTGGACGAGGCGGCGCTGGTCGACGCGCTCGCCAAGGGCATCGTGTCGTCGGTCGGGCTGGACGTCTACCAGAGCGAGCCCAACATCCACCCGGCGCTGGTGGCCAACCCGCGCGTGTGTCTGCTGCCGCACATGGGTACGTCGACGGTCGAGACCAAGACGCAGATGGAGGAGCTGGCGATTAGCAATGTGCGGTCGGCGCTGACCACGGGCAAGCTGGTGACGCCGGTGCCCGAGCAGAGGCATTTGGATGCGCAGGAGACGTGAGCGAGATGTGAGCGAGCAGACAGACTTCAGATTTCATGACACAAGATAGATCAAATGTAGACGATAAATAGGGAGCAAGACATGCAACTATTCCGCTACATGGAAACCATTGTCCTCCTACAGCCAGTCCCGGTCAAAGTCGGGCGACGGGTTGACAAAGCCAAAGCCAAAGCCGGAGCCAAGCTGCTGGGGCGTGCCTGCAGGCGGAATCTCGATGAGCCCGGCAAAGACGCCGTCAAAGAAGTCGTCCGTGGCGGCGCTAAAGAGGTCGTGATCGCGCTCAACGTCGAGGCCGCGGTCTCGGTCCCGGTCCCAGTTGTGAGCCTGGTCCCGTTCTTGGGTCATGCCAGACTGCCCACGACCACGGAGGCTGGCCAGCGAGCCGAGCCGTCGACGGAGACCGTAGGCCGTGCGGCGCGTATCGTTGAAGATGGCGAGGCCGGTGGGTCCACCGGGGCTGTTCTTCGTGTCTAGGATGAGCTGCAGAATGTCGACGTAGCACTGTGCACAGGGCCAGTACCGCGCCGACTGGTGGAGCACAGCAACGAGCGTCGTGAGGTGGGGTGGCGGTGCAAAGGGAGACGATGCGGTTGCGGTGGTGGCATCGGCCACCCCGTCGGCCGTGTTGCCTGTTGTCCACAAAATGATCAAGCTGCGCGCGGCCACCCAGACAACAAAGGCAAACAGCGGCCCGAGCTGACCGACCTGCGCCGGCTGCAGCCCCGTCGCCAGCCCAGCCACTTGATCGACGGCCTGGCGAAGCTGGGCACGGGCCGAGCTCGAGGGCCGCATGTAGGGCGAAGCGGTGGCCGGGAACGAGGCAACGGTGTACATGCGAATGTGGATGAGGGCGTAGGTGGCGTGGACGAGGTACCACATGGGGTCGAACGGTATGGTGGTGGAGGCGGAGGGCGCGGCCGGCGACGGTGGCGTGCGCACGTCGGGCGGCAGATTCTCGCGCCAGGTGCGGCTCAGGATGTCGATGCGGCGGAACTTGCTCTGCCACTCCTGGCACTGGGCGGGCAGAGACAGGTTGGTCGGCTGGACGAGCAGCTGGTTGGACTGGTCGACGAGGGACAGGATGTCGATGAAGCACTGCCAGAGGGTGGGAGGGGGTCCGGCTGTTCCGGCCACGCCATACGGAGTGGTGCTGGGACTGGTGCCGGTCTTCGTTCCAAACCATGCCAGCGGCACGCGCTGGCCCCAGGCGTCGTCGCGGGCCGGATACTGCACGCGCAGTCGGCGGCGGTCAATGGCACAGGGCTGGCCGAGGGACACGCTGGAGAAGCGGTCGAGGTTGTAGATGGTCCAGAACAGGCGCCGCTTCTCTTCGGCCTCGACTGCCGACGAGGAGGAGGAGGGGGCCGACGAGGCCACGCCGAGAAGGGTGTTGGCCGTCGCCGCGCTCTCCTCGGTGTCGTCGTTGGTTACGAGCGGCGAGGACGGCGACGTGGCACGGACGCTTCCGCTCGCACTGTCCATGCCGCCACCACCCAGACCCATATTCGCATTCATTCCGAGGCCCATGCCCACGCCCACGCCCACGCCCATAACCCCCGTGATCGGTGACGGGTTGTGGTCCAGGTGCAGCTGCCGTGCACAGGCCACGAGCATGGCCATCATGTTCCACGTGCGCGGGCCGGGACCGTCGCCCATGGCATCGATGGCCAGCAGGGCCAGCGCCTGGTACGCGACGAGCGACGCCGAGTTGATGGTGTCCACAAGCAAGCGGTCCCGAGAGACCTTGACGTACTGCTCGCGGGCCGCCGCCGACGGCCAGACACCACCACCTTGCTCATCTCGGGTCGTCGTCCAAAAGCGAAAACCCAGGACAACCATGCCGTGCAGCAGAAGCTGACGGTCCGGCAGGAGCATGGTCGCCTGGAAGGTCGGGCGGTGAAAGAGCGGCGCCCATGGATAGACGTGTGTGAAGAAGAGGTCGACGAGCTCGTCGAGGACGGCGCGGGGCGGCAGCGTGGGATCGAGCGGCGGTTCCAGCAGGGGGAGAGGCTGCTGTGAGGGAGGGAGGGGAGGATTGTACGATGCAGGACCATTCAGCTGTGTTGGGGTTTGTCCCAGCTGCTGGGCCAGCTGTTGCGCATCCTCGCTGTTGTTGGAAGGCGCGACGGAGCCCATGTCCACAGACGGTACCTGCCCGCTCCGCACACTCTGCGCCTGCACGTGCTGCAGCACATTGTGAATCGACTGGGCCATCTTCTCCACGTTCTCTTCCAGGAGAGACAGCCGGCCCTCGACGGCTCGCCCATACCCCGGCCGCAGACCGGGCTGGCCTCTCTCCTTGTAGACGCAGGCCGTGCCTGTCATTTGTCAGTCACGGAGTCACAGTGAGAGGGGAGAGAGGGGAGAGAGGAACACCTTTTCGTCGACACGCATCGCACTGTGGCCGCGAGCTGTCACATCGTGACTTTTTGGCCTTGCAAGTTTCACATCTAGGGAGGTCAGGGAGAGGCGTGAGAATGGGATACTGGGAGTGAATGCCGGCCACCCACGTACGTCTTGGACATCGTGCGCGTCTGCTTCCGCAACATCCGCCTTCCATCGCCTGTCTCAGAGTCACCGGCGTCGCTCATTTGGACTGGCATCGGTTATAAAGGGATGGGGTTTTGGTGACAAGAATTGACTGAAAGTGAAGGAAAAATCAACCTGGCAACAAATATGGTATATATTCCGAGGTGGCAAGCAAACAATGACGATGAAAACGTGAAGGAAATGAGGAGAAATGTAAGAGTGCGGAAAAGTCAAGCGTTGGTGTGCAGTATCATACAGTGGCTGCCAGCGGGTTCGTGGTATGCGGTGCAGGGAGTTACTAGCCGGATCCTCGGCAACCGTTAGTGGATTAGAGGGAGAATCGTTGCCGCGCCGAGTTTACAAGGCATTTACACAATACACTTCTTTCTTCTTACTTTTAACCAGCATAAGCAAAATAATGCAAGAGAAAGACACAACTCTGTATATGTTGACATTCTGGAAAACTATTTACTGACATTCATTTTCATTATTCATACATCCGAGACCACCGTCTCACAGTCGACAATATTTCGTATCGTCTTTGACCATCACGTTTTTCTGGTGTTCGTATCCTCCTCGTGTCTCTCTCTCTCAACATACCTCCTCTCAATACGCCTTCACGCCCGCCAGCTTTAGCAGCTTGTCCGTCTGCTCGGCCGGCTGCAGCGGCTTCTCGCGGTGCCGCGGGTCCGGCGTGCCGTCCGGCAGCCGCGCCGCCAGCTCGCGCAGCTTGATGTTGGTGTGCGGCCAGTGCGTGGTGCCGCCGTGCGCCTGGAAGACGCGCTGCTTCTCGGCCAGGGCCTCTGGCGAGGCGAGCGACGCCGGGGCGTACGCCGCGTAGATCACGGTGCGGATCGTGGTGCTGGCGGCCGTGGGCTCGCCGCCCCAGTGGATGCAGCGCGAGTCCCAGAGGATCAGGTCGCCCGGCGCGGCCTCGACGCGGACGGGCCGCACGCCGCGCGCGGTGAACCACGCCATGTCCTGCGCGGAAAAGTAGCGGTTGTCGCGCATCGCCCAGTCGGCCGGGTCGGTCTCTTCGTCAAAGAAGGCCTCCACGAGCGCCGCCGAGCCGTCCATGACGCACAGCGAGCCGTCGTCGGGCCCCGCCTGGCTCAGATTCAAAATGCCCTGGATGCAGTGCAGCCCGCGCTTGCGGGGCGCCTGGTCCACGTGCGGCCACGGCGCGCGCGGCGGCTTGAAGTTGGGCAGCGTGACGTTGAGCGAGTCAAACGACACCAGCAGCTCGTCGGTGCCCCAGAGCTGCGCAAACGCCTCAATCAGCTTGGGCTCCTGGCGCGCCTCCCACATGAAGCGCTCGTGGATCACGCTGTAGTGCTCGTACGTGTTCTTGTCCGTCTGCAGCGGCAGCTTCTCCTCGGACCACGTCGTCGGGTCCTTGGGGTCAAAGTCTGGGTCGAACGTCTGCAGCCATTGGAAGGCCTGCTGCTGGTAGTACTGTGCGCGTTCCGGGGTGATTACGCCGCGGACCACCGTGTAGCCCTTCTTTTCGAGTTCATCACGCCAGTCGCCGCCGGGGTTTTGAATTCTGGAGAAAAACAAGTGTCAGCGGGTGTTGAGTCTTTATGGTTGATGGGATCCAGTATGCAACACGGACTGGCAGGACTCACTTGAAGCTGCTAATCTCCTTGGTGGAGGCAGACGGTGTAGTTGCGGACGGCATGGTCGTAGTGGACGCGTGTTGTTTGACGCTATTAGGTATGTGTAATGGGTGTCGATTCATATGCAGTGTCTGTGCAAGTTGAACGTACTCAACAGCAACTGTTGGTCTAGTCTCCTTACAGAAACCCGCTTCTTGCACTTATATACCCTGTTATTATTGTTCCTCTCCGATTCATGTCCGGCGCCATGCAATATCTTGGCCACGACAAAGGTGACGGTGATTTGAAGTGAAGACTGGGGCTCGCCAAGGAAGAACAAAAACATGCACATCATGCGGAGGTGAGTTGTGGAGATGTGGAGGTGTGGAGGCGGGCTGTCATTGTGCCGGACACTAGCTCTCACCCTCACTGTACGTCCTGCGGGTAATGATGCCCCGGCGCTAAACAAGCGACTCCGTCAGCGGAAGCCTTCAACCGTTGTTGGCGAAGTTGGAGGAGAGGTGACAAGTAGAAAGAGGGAGGATGAGGAGTCGACGGCAAGGGAATGAATATGTAACGGAATGAGGAGACTGATGCTGGATGAGATTTGCTGCAGTATTCTCTGGTGACGACTGTCAGCGCTGTGTATTATTTTGTTATACGCAGCAACCAATCACAGTTCACAGTTTACACCGCAGTCAACACCGTACACTGCACCTACTATGAGAGTCCTCATTACCGGCGCGGCCGGCTTTATTGGCCAAATCACCGCCAAGGCCCTGCTCGACGACGAGCGATACAGCGACGTCCTGCTCACCGATGTCATCGAACCTCCTGTGCCGGCCGGCACAAAATATCCCGAGCGCGCCCGGTGCGTCAAGGCCGACCTGTCGCGGCCCGACGACGTTGCTTCGATTGTCGCCGACAACCTCCAGTCCGTCATTTTGCTCCATGGCATCATGTCCTCCGGTGCCGAGGCCGATCTCGCACTCGGCTACCGCATCAACGTCGACGCCACCCGCGCCGTCCTCGACCGCCTGATCCAGTCGTGCCCCGGCGTGCGCGTCCTCTATGCGTCCAGCGAGGCCGTCTACGGCCGGCCGGTGCCCAGGCACGGCGTCACCGAAGACGACATCCCCGCGCCGGAAATGTCCTATGGGTGCCAGAAGATCATCTGCGAGACCATCATCAACGACTATACCCGGCGCGGTCTCATCAACGGCTTTGCCCTGCGCTTCCCCACCATTTCGGTCCGGCCGGGTGCGCCCAGCGCGGCCATCTCGAGCTTCTTGTCGGGCGTCATCCGCGAGCCGCTGGCCGGCACGCCCTGCGTCCTGCCACTGCGCGACCGCGCCTGGCGCCACTGGATGTCCTCGCCCAAGACGCTCGTCCACAACCTGCAGGTGGCCCTGCAGCTGCCCCTCGACGCTCTGCCGCGGCATCGCCGCGCCGTCAACATGCCCGGCTTCGCCGTCACCATCCAGCAGATGCTGGATGCGCTCGAGGCCGAGGGCGGCGCGGCCGCACGGGCGCTGGTCGAGGAGCGCGAGGTGCCCGAGATCCAGTCGACGCTGTACTCGTGGGCCGACGACTTTGACAACAGCCTGGCGCTGTCGCTGGGCATGAAGCAGGACACGTCGTTTGTCGACTCCGTGCGGGACTACAAGGCGACCTTGGCAGCGAGCAGTTGAGCACATGGAACGGCGGATCAAGCGGTCAACAGGAACGCCTATTTTCTTTGACGTGTTTGTTGTTAATGGAGGCGCAGGCAGTATTAGACAACCAGGTATACTTTAATTAATGTACAAAATGTAAGGTTACAAAGTGTGTCCCAGCTAGTCATCCTTTCCCTCTTATACCCCGTATCTCATATCTCATAACTTGTCGCGCCCGATTTACGTCCAACCCAGTCGGTCCGGTTGTCGTATCTGCCGTCCGTATCTTGTGTAGACGGGACGTGTAGTGGCCTTCTGTTTCTTCGTGATGCCGGCACTCCTCCGCTGAGCCCCATTAGGACGAGGACGCTGGCGAGTCGCTGCTTTGATGCCGGGCCCTGCTGGCGGCTGCCTTGTCTCAGGCGACACTTGCGACCGTTGTGAATGCGGTATAACGGCAGCCGGTGGTTGCTGCTGGTCCTTGTGCCACGTTTGTCGAGGGCGCAAGAAAGACACAGATTGCTTCTTCTTCTCGTTCGATTCCGCATCGGTAGAACCTGGGCGAGTTCGGAGTCGGCTGGATCGCCGACAGCCGGCAAGGGCTGATGCCAATGTTGTACCAGCGGCTTCGTGATCGCTGGTATCGCCGTGGCCAGTGCCTTCCTCGTCCGGGACCGGTTGCTCTCTCGTTGTTTTGGATGATGTGCCGTTCTTCTCTGCTGCAGACATGATGACCCGCTGCTCTTCCATCCAGACCAACATCGCCCCGTGTGCGGCAATACGGCGTTTCTCGTAATTCACGTGCCACTGCCGAGCCTCCGCGTCGTATGCGCCTCTGATGTTATGCCTTGCTATGGCCCACATTGATTTTCTGAGCCCTATCTCTCTCACCTGGTACTCGAGCCAGTTCTGCACGCGGGATTGCTTTGCGACATCAAGCGACCAGTCGACGAGAGACGCCGACTCGTTAAATTTGCGTCGCTTCAACAGGTAGCGGCCGTCGAGCATGTATTCCTCCAGCATGTACTCTGGAGTGCGGTGTTTTGGATCGTTTTGAAAGTCTTCCCGTACTCGTTTCTGGAAGTCGCGAAACTCGTCCCATTCTCGTAGCTGGTCAACAAGCGGCATAAAGCCATGGCCATTCCGCTCGTTGATGATGTGAAACATAGCAGCAGGATGCTCTTTTGGCAACCTGTCCTCTGTGTCGTACGGAAATGTGTAATCCGGTGGGTGGCATGGAGGGCATCCCGTCTCGATGAGTTCTTGTCGAAATCGAGCTTCCTCCTCTCTGTAGAACTGGACGAGCTCTTCACCTTCTAGTGGAGACGGAGGGTCGACTGTGCTCGCTTCGGAGGGCGTTCGTGGAAGGAATTCCACATTCTCGTCAGATAGAACCTGGAGGCGCTCGTTGACGGCGTCGAGATTCAGTCCACCTTGGAGAACGACTGCTTGCGCCCTGGCGTGCGAGAAGGACAGCGGTCAAGCGGTCAGCATACAAGGCAAATGTTTGTTTGGAACGTTTAAAGGGAAGGGGGAAATATACTGTAGGTCTGCAAGAAGTGCAAGCCGTTCTTCTTCATTTTCAATGTTTATGTTCGGGTCCTGTACAATACTAGGCAAATGTTAGCGTTGCAGTCAGCGCAAAGCGAAAGATCCGCTGATGGAGGAAGGGGACGGACGTAACACCGTGGAAGTGATCCAGCGTGCGGTTGTTTGAAAGAACCTGCCGCCCGATGAAGTTCTCTTTCGTTGCTTGGGTGAAAGCAGACAGCATTTTGGCAATGATACTCCGCGTATACGTCATTTGTAATGAAACTTGAAGCGGGAAAGAGAATATTTGTTTTGTACGACAGGATTAGGAGTCAGATAAGGTCAGGCTGTTAAAACATCATATAAGTCCATTCTGGTTTACTCCATGTTTAGCGCTGGGGCAGAGCCGCTACGCGCCGTTGTCGGGTATTTCCCGGGCCACTGCCTAGCCTTCAGCGCCTAAACTTAGCGGTCGTCAAAATAGACAGCACCAAACAGAATGTCATGCTTCATCCGTCTTTTTAAATCACTCTCATCCAACCATATTTTCTGATGCATTGTCTACGCGCCCAACATGAGACCGTAATGTAGGCCGGTGATGAGAACTGGGAGACAAAATGCAGTATGCTCAAAGTCAGTTTGTATATTTTGCATAGTTACCTTTTTGTAGTTCCCCCAATCCCATAATTTTGCTTCTTACTTGGTTTTGTCCCGTCAATGCATCTCACATTGAATTACAAGCTAGGAACATCCACGTATGGTCTCGAGTAGAGTGGCCGTAAAACTGGCACTTCTTATCAACTTTTAGCGAATGACATCAAAATAAGCCGCTGATATATAGAAATATGATGCAAATCCAGAGAGGCTAACTAGAAAAAAAAAAGAAATATGCATCATCATAATATCATAATCAAAGACAAGGACAAGGAGGCAAGAAAGAAAGGTGATAGGCGCATCTGTAACTGGTATGACGTCTCGTGGAATGATAACCAACGGCATGGAGGGTGGAGGACCCGACAAAGAGTTGATGCTAGCCCAGCTGGCCTGGGCCGTGATCCTAGGACATCTGGTCACAAGTCACTGTTTTGCCCAACATTGGCAATCTTTATCTTCTTTGATAGCCGTGCATCGTCCCTCGATGAGGAGGAGTACGACGTTGGCCGTGATGCAGACGTGTTGGCATGCCGTGGCCGTTTTGTTCCAGTGGGGGGAGGTGCAGGCTGTTTTCCTGGCATGTTTGCCACCGACTCCCCTGGGCCCTCCTCAATCAAATGGATGGGCTCACGCCGGGGAGAGGGGGCTTGTTCTTTGACCCGGGGAATCTCATCTGATTCCCGTGCATCCATGTCCATCCGCTCTAGTATAGGTCCCACGTCACAGCTAGGGATGAGATCAAAGTTCATGAACCGGTCCCATATCGATCCTAGACTGTGATGGCTGTTTCTCTCGGAACCAGTCTGACGATTCTGTGTGTGCCGATCCTGTGTCTCCTCCGACCCCTTTGTGGCGACCCTGCTCGGCATCGATTTGTATGGAAGCTTGTCGTCCGTCTCAGACAGCGGTTGGAGGCATGCCACAGACGGATTTAGTGTCACAACCCTAGGTTCCTCTGGATCATCGTCATCCCCATCAATGATGTCACCACTGCGTGTCATCTTGAACAGACCGTTGGCGCAGCCTCGAAGAAGGCATTCAAACGCCTTGTACCGTTTTTGGGGATCTATGACCAGCATGCATTTGAGAAGGTTAATGACGGGATCACCGGGATGATCCTGGTCATGCTTCTGGACTGCGTTGAGGATAGTCCGCGACCAGAACTTGATCCACACTCTCTCCATTTGGCGCATCATGCCACGGGTGCTTGGCAGGCCGTACGTCCACTCGAGCATCATGACTCCAGCGGACCAAATGTCCACGGACAGCCAGTATCCTTGAGTGGACTGAGCGCGTCGGTGGCTGGGGAAGACGTCAGGGGCACCGTACAGCCATGTACAGCAAAATGTCGTCATGAGGCTGCCTGGCACGGCCTCTTTGGAAAGACCAAAGTCAGTGACGATGATGTGGATGGGATCCAACCTCTCTACGAGGATGTTCTCGGGCTTGAGGTCACGGTGGGCCACGTTGCGCATATGCAGATAGTCCAGGACGATCAAGAGTTGACGAAAGGCGCTGCGGTGCTGATCCGGGCGTAAGGACATCTTGTACATGTTGCCGTGTGGGTAGTATGGCATAAGCAGTCCCGGAATTCCGTCCGATTGGAGTGCGAGAAGTTGGATAATGTTTGGCTGTTGCGATAGCACGCATTAGCTTAGAACGGCGAATGAAAAAGAAAAGGAGATACAATAAATGGTTCTCAGCTCGATTCTCATCGTACTGGCGTCGAAACGTACATGTGGGTGTTGCTGCATCATGCGGGCTTCGTTCCAGAAGTCCGCCTCCACCTGATGTCTTTTTGCAGATGTGCTTGGATTGTTGAATTTCAACAGCCTCTTTCTAGCCGCCGTATCGCCCGTGGTGACATCGACAAGTAGCTCGACAACCCCAAAGGCACCGGAGCCGATGGTCCTCTGAAAACATAGACTGCCGAATGGAGGCGGCGTCGGTGACGGACTACTTGGAGCGGCCGCCAAAGGTTTGTTGTCTAGGCCTGCCGGCCCAAGAACAGGCGGAACCGCCAGTGCTGTCTTCTGCACCCACTGCTTCAAGTTGGCGTAGTACTCGGGTGTGGCCTCCCTTGTATGATTAGGGAAGACAATTTCAAATTGAACGTCCTGCGACGGTGCAGCAGCACCAACTTCAACTTTGCTCCAGTACTGTGGTTCCGACGGGCCAAGGCAAATAAAGAACTTATCACCCCGCTGCGGACGAATTTCGTGACGGTGGCCTGGCCTGGAGTGGTAGATCACTCGAGACTTTTGCGCCGTCATCTGGTGGAACTGGACGCGAAACTCTGGCGTGATGGAAATTGCAAAGTGCCGGCGACTGACTCCCAAGGTTTGTGGGAGGCAAATCATAATGTCGGACGTCCTGGTACTGTAGCCAAACTGCCAGCCCTCGGCCGGATCTTTGAGCGCCGTATCGTCGTCCAACCGTAGCACGAGTCGGTCTTCGGCGCTGGGGTCGGGGTCGTTTTCTTCGTCATCGACGGATTCGACTATGGAACCTATATCCGGTGTAGAGTCGCGGCTGCTGCGGTCGACCATCCTTTCCTTACCGGGGGCAAAGAACTGCCTGTTCGCCGAAGAAGCGAACGCCCCCAAAGCGTTCATGGCACTTTTGGGGAGGATGAGGGCAAAGATCTTGGGATCCATCGTGAGTCGGTTGTGACATACAGCAAAACACAAATTATTGGGAAGTAAAGAGGAGCTACAAAACAAAGGGCAAGAAACTTTCAGAAAGACCACGGACCACAAAATTGGCCTGCCTTTGAGCGAACTGGACTCTTTTCCTCCATCTCGCATTGACGGCCAGCATTGCGGTCTCATGTCGGGCGCGTAGACCACGTCCAAAATAAAAAAAATGGTTGGATGAGAGTGATTTTGAGCGCAGCATGGAACGGGCGGTGCTGCCTGGTGTCGCCTTTTTTTAACGACCGCTACAAGTAAGTGTTCAACGCTAGGCAGGGCCCGAGATGGACCCGCCCGGTAAAGGCGCGTAGCGGTGCTGCCCCCAGCGCTAAACCAGGGCTGCGGCAGCATGATGTCAGCGACGACGAAGCCGCCGGCGCGGCTTTAGCATCCGCCCCTGCCCATCGTCAACAGTGCAGCTGGATACAAACTTGCGTAGTTCCCATTGATATTGAATCTACCACGGAGAAGGCATGCGGCCTCGCGGACGGCAGATACGGCCACCGTACCGAGAGGATTGGGTATCCGTAACGAGATATGAAAATCTACCTGCAAATCGGTCTGGTATACAATTGATACCATGATATGCTATAATGTAATTGACATTATTTAGACTGTATCTGGTAGTTTAGCAATACGCCAGCTTCGTTAAACAGCCAGCATTTCGAAGAAGCAAGCACGCCGCGCTCATTATCTAATCTGTGTTTTCCAAGTCGAATGTTCCTTGTCCGTCCCTGATTCACTCAACAAATGGGCTCCTGCCAGCCAATGGTCCATTTGGGGGTGCCGATGACGAGCACCACCACCACTAGACCTGTGGCCAAGCTGATACCACCGTAGACATAGGCATGCCGCCGCCGGAGACCCGACAGCTCGGCCATCCAGGTGCTGACCGTCGTGAGGCAGCCGCAGAAGCCGTCCATGATGCCCTGCAGGACCTGGCAGCCCACGAGACGGGTGGCGGCGACGGCAGACGCGTGCTGCAGGTCCCAGGCCATGGCCAGCACAGCCGTCCCGAGAATGTTAGCGGCAAAGGTGCCGAGGGGAAAGGTGGCAAAGGTGCCATTGAGCTTGAGACTGAGGTAGAAGCGCAGCAGGCAGCCGAGTGGAGCGAACACGAGGGCAAAGAGCACATCGGTGCGCCAGTGGTTGGCTTTGGCCGGGCCGGGCTGGAAGACGGTTAGGAGCACAGCAGCGAGCCAGGAGCCACATGCGAGGAGGACGACGGCGTTGTCGGCGATGCGGAGGAGTGTGGTGGTGTGAGTACGTGCCCACGACGTGGGACCTACTCGACGAGCAATATGCTTGCCAGCAATGGCGAGGTGTGCGCCGAGCTTGAGTGCCGACAAGCACATGCCGACGGTCAGAAAGAGAACGGCGAGGGGGGCCATAATGTCGTAGCCGACGCTGCGGCTGGCGACTTGGGCAGAATCGTCACTGTCGCCCGGGTGGTACCGGGGCGCAGGCAGGGTGTTGGCCAATGCTTCAAAGACCTCGAGCATAAAAGAGGAGAAGGAGGTAAAAGAGCCGCAGAAGCCGGTGGCCAGACCGACGTAGAGCGGGATTGGTTTTGAGCGTTTGATGGGAGCGGGGGCGGTGGCGGCGGCTGGTGAAGCAGCAGTTGGTAGTGCCGGAGATGCTGATGACACGGCAGCGGCGTTGTTTGGTGCGCCGTTAACCTCATTGACCGGGTCGACATTAGCAACATCGCGGTTACTGTCGTGTTGGTCCTCCTTATTGGCCTCGTTCTGTTCCTCCTCGTCTGCGGGATGGTCCCGGTTGATCAACGGTGCCAGCTCTGCCAGGAAGCCCAGCACGGCCGTGCCAGCAAAGTTGGCCCACAAGATGCCAATCGAGACGGGCGCGCCGGTGTAGGTCGTCAGGGACGTGAGGCCGAGGCGGGCGAGTGTACCCCAGAAAGAGAAGAAGATGAGGTAGGCGACGGTGTAGAGCTCGACGAGCGGTCGCGGGACGGCAGTGCCATAGCGGCGGCGGCCTTTTCTTGAGACGTCGGAGGCCCTTCGTTGACTCTGTGCATCCCTCTCGAGCTGGGCATCCTCCTCTCGGTTCTCCTCGAGGCTGCGGTAGCTGGTGACACGCAGCTCATCCGGGTTCTGGACGGGTGGCGGCGCCTCAGCCTCGTTGATGTTGACGTACGAAAGTGGGATATCATATGCTTGCGGCTTGTCAGCAACCTCGTCACTGTGGCCGTTGGCACCGCCGTCATCACGGGTATCTCCAGTCTCTGCATCTCCAATCTCGCCTCGTCGATGTCGACCTGCTTCGACACCGTGTCGATGCATGGCCTTGTGGGACGTGGCCACCGGCCAGTGTCCAGCGCTGGTAGTCGTGTCTCTGGTTAATGTCGTTAATGTCGTGGGTATAGATGCATGTATTATGTTGCTCCCAAAAAGGGGAAGTAAATAAATGCTGTTTTGGGGCCTGACGCGCTCTACGCGTCAGCGGGAGCGAGGAATGCTGAGCAAAGAGCCCCCCGGTGGGCCTGCGACTGCCGGTTTGACGGCCAGAATTAGATGGGACAGTCAGTTTCAATTGATGATATTGAGTTGATGAGTTGTAGCGTTTCTCTTATCCCCATTTGCTCCCGTTTCCGTGTAAATATGACAGCACGATTGAGGGTCAATTTTCACATTTTTTTTGTCGCGATCGATTTGAGCGGAAAAGTCGGTTGGACCGGCTAAGTCGGACTAGCCAAATGTGTAAGTCGACAAAATCGCTTGTGGGTGGTGGTGCTAGCGGTCACGGTAACGCTACTGTCCAAGGCGTCCATACGTCACAGGGCAACCCTCACGTCACAGGGCGTTCTACTGCACTTCTAGCGACCTTCCACCGACGTCGGCTGCCGTTTGCCACTAACGGTGTGCTAACGGGTGTGCTAACACTTTTTTTCTCACGAACAAACACCGAAAATGACTGATTTCGCAAAACGATGACCACTCAACTTATGATTAGAATGTAAAGATGACGGTGGACCTGCAGCGTTTGCATGACTGACACGAGAATGGAGCGTGAAAAAGTCTATGTAGAAACAAAGGAAAATAAACGCCGAAAAATGCTCCTGTACCTGCACAAATGGTATCGCAAATCAAAACTCAAACCGATGACTCCGAAGGTCCGAAGGAATTCGCTTGTTCGTTTTTTTTTCTCTTCCACCGCGTCATTTGTCACCTCCTCACTCGCCATCGCTCGTATTCCACTCGTAGTCCGGTGGCGGCTCCGAGACAATGACGCGCAGGGCCGTCTTTGTGTATTGAATCTCCGCCTTGGGCACGACGGGCTTCTTGCCTGGGGGCGTGCTCGATGTCGTCACAGCGGCCACGCCCATGGACACCTCAAGCGTGTAGACGCGCGAGGCAAAGCACGTCGCAAAGCCCGGCTGGCCCTGGATGGCCGCGATGGTGGCTGGGGGAAGATGGATGCCCCCAGCCGTATCGTCGCTGCTGTTATCATCGCCGTGGCTGCTGCTGCTGCTGCCGCCGCTGCCGCCACACGCAATGTCCACCTTTTCCTGGCGAATGGGCACGCTGCCCTTGACCGACCAGAGGGGCCACGTCGTGTCGTCGACGCGCGTGGCCGCGCCGATTTGTGCGTGGATCTGGCGGCGCAGGCGGACCGACAGACTGCACAGCTGGAGCGTGCAGCCGGTGTCGGCCACCGTGTCGAGGAACGACCGCGGCGTGCGCAGAAACAGGCCCAGGTCGAGCGGCTGGCCGGGCGTGATGACGGGCAGGTTCGGCATGACCATCTCGAGGGATATGGCCGGCGAGTACGCCGGCAGACAACCGGGGAGCACCGGTGGATTCTGCGCCTTAACGGCCCATGCGTCGGCAGCGTCGGTGCTGCTTCGTTCCTCGATGCCGAGCTTGCTGGCCGGCATCCAGGCCGTGCTGCGGACGAGCTGGCGGGCACCGGCGGTGGTATCGGTGACGTCGGTGTGGGCATCCAGAAGCGGGTCGGACACGATGGACACGGGCGATATGGGCGGTGATTGGGGTGGTGACAACGGAAGCGACACCGTCGGTGGCCGGGCCTGTACTGGCCGTATGGACTGAACTGGTGCAGCCGTGCCGTACAGAAGCTGCTCGGTAATGGGCGGTGCGTAGGTGATCGACTGGCGGGCGGTCACGGGCCGGTGCAGCAGACGGTGGTACAGGCCGCTGCCCGGCCGCCGGCACACGGCGGTGACGCCATAGGAGACACGGACTTTGACACCCGGTGTGACGAGCAGTGTCGATGGCGGAAGCGGGCAGACGGCCGACTTGGCGGTGTTGGCCCGGCCACAGCAACGGTCGGCTGGGGGAAAAGCAAACGCAAAGGGCGCGGACAGCGTGTTGTCGTTGACTGGCGTCGGATGCAAGACTTGGACGGATGTGAAGATCTGCACGACTGTTAAGACTTGTACTCGTTTTGTGGAATATTGTACTCGACCCTGTGGACCAATGACGTCGACTCACTTTGTAACTTTGTCGCTTATGGGTGTCGCCGATCTGTGCCTTTGCGTCGAAGCCGGGTTTGAGTGTGACTTTGGCAATGCCTGCAGGATGTCAGAAGTTAATCCAAGTTTCGACTCTTTGCTGTGCCCTCCGTCACCGTCAAGCCCAGTCTGGACCGCTCGCCGACAGTTCTCACCTTGAAATACCACCCGGACCTCTGGTGTGTCGGAAACGTCGTCCATCTGTACATCGACACGGCCTTGGACCTTGTCAGTGGCCTGGAAGACGTGCCCATTTAAGGGCTTGTTGACTGATAAGGCAAGCTTCATTGTGTATGTGAGCGCGTTGTATGCTGTATAGCGGTGTACGGTCAGACGAGAGCAAGGGAAAGGAAGACGGGGAGAAAAGTGGTAGAGAATATATGTCAGGAGCAAAGTCAAGAAACGAGAAGCTGCATAAAGTATTTGAAACATATGACTGGCTTCACACCGACGGGCCACACAACACGCCCTCGACACCCAAGAGATGCCCCGTGCTTTTGAATATGCCGATCGCTGCCCAATGCCGAACGCGCTGCTGATAGTACCCACGCAAAACATGAATCGACAAGGGCAAACGAAACTACGAAAATCGGCCGTGGCGTTCCAAGATCCCAAGTTCTGGGAATCGTGCGGTACGGGGGCAAGGGGGGAACCGTCGTCACCGCCCAAACGCGACAAGGACTTCGGCTCCACAAAACCCGACTTACACGAGAATGGCTGTTTGACCCGCCCGAACTCCTCCCAACTTCGCCAAATTCACGGACAAACCTCGATTTTGAGGCGGCATCTGGCCGGCATCTGGGCGGCATCTTGGGGCGAGGCGCTTGAGGCGAATTCCACCAATTCCAGGGCAACCCCGCCCCACCATTTTCCCAGTCTTGGGGTCTTGGGACCCACTTTTCCAAGATGAGTCGGGCAATTGGGCGGCGATTGGGCAGCCGAAAGGCGGCCGATGCCTGTACGTCAAAGAAGATCTGCTGGCTTCCAGGTCTTGGTACCTGATTTGGGCCATGCCAGCCTGCTTGTCGAGCCTTGGAACAAAGCCTGACTAGCCCAAACATAAACACTTTTAGCGGATTTGGGCCGCCCTAATGTTGACTTTACAGCGCCCTCCGAAAGACTCAGAGCTAATCTCCGCCACCAATCAAATGCAACAGCAGATATGTCTAAGCCGGATAAATCGCATAACCCGCATAATCCGGTGACGGGCTGCACCTGCCGTGGTCAGTCAGTCTCGTTCACATACCTGCACACAGCAACTGCGACCCACTCGTAAATAAACACCACAACCATCCCGAGATATCCCAATATTCACTCCTTTTGGTTTCGTTTGCAAGCCAGCCTGGAAAAAATGAGCCAGCCTGGAGAATTGGCAGGGGGCCAGGGCTCCAAGCGGAAGCGAGTCTTTCGCGCCTGTGACTCGTGCCGTGCCATGAAGTCAAAGGTAAACGACCCAGCAGAGCCAAGCTTTATCTACAGCTACCTACATCCTTACTTACATAAATGTGCACTGTGGCCTCACCCCTGCTGACCTTTATCGCGTCTAGTGTGACGGAGTCCATCCTGCTTGCGGCCGGTGTACGGGGTACGGGTACAAGTGCCTCTACGGCTATGCCGGGAAACGCAACCAACGCCACCGCATCGACGAAGCATCGGCAGCGTCAGCGTCGGCGTCTGTGTCGTTGTCCCACGATGACGAGTCCCACAACAACGCAGTTGCAGCACTACAGCTGACGGCCCGGGACTACAGCAACCTGGTTCGTGCCGTGGTGCAGCGGCTTCCTGAGCCCGAGCAGCCCTCTGTGCTCGACGCACTCGCGACGCTGGACGAGCGAGTCGTACATGAAGCACGGATCAGGGCGCCTGCTCGTCCAAGTCTGGGGCATGCATCTGCGTCTTTATCTGCCTCTGCATCTGCGCCCAGGTGGCCAAACTCTGCAGCGCCCACGAGGAACGCGTCATCCACCACGGCCGCCCGGTCGGTGGAGAGGTATCTGGGCGAAGTCAGCGACGTCCGGTTCTTCAACCTCGTCGACCGGGCGTTGGCCGGACCGAGCAATCGTTCGTCTCAGGTATCGGGACATCTGGCGGCCGTGAGCCATGATGTAGCAACCTCGACCGGCGCCAACGACGACGGTGCTCTCCAAAGCTATGAGCAGGATGGCGCTGCAACAAACGAAGATACGTTGGTCGAGTTCCCCGGCGCCGACGCCGCCGCCCGGTATCTGGACATTTACTTTTCCACCATCCACGTCGCCTATCCGTTTTTGCCGCGCGCCCTATTCATGAAGACATACGAACGGTACGTAGGCCAGGATCCCAACAGTGCCGCTGCCGACATCAGTGACACCTGGCTAGCCACCATGTACACTCTCTTTGCCATTGGCGCCTGCTACGAAAAGGCTGCATCAGGCAGCGAGGACGCCCGCCACGAACAATACTACCGCCACGCCCTGGCGCTCTCCTCCGGTGTCCATCGGAGCCATGGTGCCAGCATGCACCTCGACACCCTCGAGCGGTCGCTGCACCAAGTCAGGTTTTTGTTGGCCCAGTGCTTCTACCTGCTGGCCGTGTGCCGCACCGACAAGTGCTGGACCACGCTGGGACTGGCGGTGCGCATTGCCCAGAGCATCGGGCTGCATGTAGACGCAGGCTGTCTTTCACACGGCACGCATGGCCAGGGCCAACGACGTGACGGCAATGCAATAAGCGCTGCGGCTTTCCATAACGCCGAGCTGCGTCGCCGTGTGTGGTATTCCGTGTATGTTTTAGACCGCCTTCTGGCGCTGCAGCTGGGCCGTCCGCCGGCCATCCACGATGAGGACTGCCACCTGCTGCTGCCCTCACGGCTAGGAGACGGGGACATTGACTGGCTGGGAACGGCCTCGGAACAGCAGCCCCCTGATGCTGGCGTGCCTACAGTCGGTGACTACTTTGTCCGCATGATTGCGCTGTCCAAAATCATTGGATATGTCCTGCGCGATCTGTACAGTCCGCGGGGCCTGAACGGACTGCGGGGGGACACGGGTGCTACCATCCTCGACAAGGACGACACCCTCACCGGCTGGCTGCTCCCCACGACAAAACGTCTCGACCGCCAGCTGCTCGAGTGGCGCCGCGCCCTGCCCCGCAAGCTGCGCTTCGACTTTGGCCACGCCTTTGACACCGCCGACGCCTCGCCCGCCACGTCCGCCATCTTCAGGCGGCAGCGCAACATGCTCGCCATCAAGTTCCACCACCTGCGCGCCGTCATCCACCGGCCGTACCTGTGCCTGCCGCTGCTGCACGGTCACGGCCAAGGCCACGGCGCGTCCACCATCACGTCTCCCATCGCCCGCCGCTACGAGACCGTCTGCATCCTCGAAGCCCGCGCTACGGCCCAGCTGTTGCACCATGTCGTCGACAAGCAGAATCTTGTGCACGACTTTCCGTGGTGGCAGATGATTTCGTGCCTGGTGTATGCGAGCTCGATTCTGGTCGTTGCAGGTGCTTTTGCGCGGCGAAACGCGGCCAGTGAAGGCAACAGTCAAATCGACAGTAGCGACGGTGGTGGCAACGACAATCTCGGCATTGATGGAACATCCACGCCCGTCGACGCTGACGCTCTGGATGCCGCTGCCCTTGACGACGACGCCGAGACATGCTTGACTGTCTTTGAAGCACTGAGTCCGAATTCAGAAAGTGCCCGGCTGGCGCGCGATATGATGCGGAGGCTCAAGGCGAGGGGTGCGGCATGGAGGTGGAGGGATATGCATGGGAGAGACACCCCAGGCGACACGGTGGCAGAGGCGATGAGCACTGCACCACCACCGTCTCAAGCGCCAGATACCTCTGTCCCGGCGCCGATGCCGACAGACGACCCCACAACCTGGCAGGAATGGCCGCTCGAGATTTTTTATTCGATGGAGTGGTCCACGCAGCTGTTCCATACGATCGACGGGCTGCCGTAGTCGCCGTCGTACGGCGTATTTGGAAAATAAAATATGATTGATCATTGACGACTGCATTCAACGTGAAGCAAACCCTACAGAGATACCGATTGCGACGCAACCCCATCAACGCTCTCGGCTTTTCCACACAATACGACCTCACAACAATCAGAACGCAGACGTGAACGTCGCATTTTGACGCATTTGCGACCTGACGCACTCGCGACCCGACGCACTCGCGACCTGACGCATTTGCGTCGACGCAGTTGCGTCGTTCCATCTTTGGCTTTATCATGATTGGTGCATTTGAGGTACTAGCTTTCTCATCGATACTTGGTGAGCGAATCAAATTTCTTTCAGTCACAGCCAAACAGGACGTTTGCGATGACGCAGCTGCGTCGCTTCATCGTGATTGGCTTTTGAAGTACTAGCTTTCTCATCGATACTTAGTGAGCGAATCAGATTTCTGTCAGTCGCAGCCAAGACGTTTGCGTTGGACGCAGCTGCGTCGTTCGACGTTTGTGTTGACGCAGCTGCGTCGTTCGATGTTTGCGTTGACGCAGCTGCGTCGCTTCATCGTGATTGGCTTTTGAAGTACTTGCTTTTTGGTGAGCGAATCAGATTTCTGTCAGTCACAGACCTCTTACCAAGCCTCCCACTTTTGGCCGCCAATGGCCACCAGCCGGTTGAACAGCTCGTCCCGCAGTGGAATCGCCGTCACCTTGTACGTCGTCCCCGTGCGGTCTGTAATCTCCAGCCCGTCCGCCATCTCCCGCCCTAGCGACCAGCCAACCACAATCTTGGTCTTCCACCCGAACCCGCCAATCTTCTTCAGCTCTTGAATGTCGCCAATGGGAATGCTCCACCGCGGGTGCACCGTGTCCGGGTCGCTCGACACCTCCGTGCTGAAGGCCACGGCGGGGATGGTCGCCTTGGCCGTAATGTAGACGCTTCCGCGCTTGCCCTCGTAGCGCGCCTGGAACTCCACGGGCCCCGACGTCAAGTCCGCATCGCCGCCCGCCGGCTCCACAACGCCCTGGCGCTCCTTGGCGTGGCGCGAGCCCAGTGCGGCGCGCAGGCTGTTGGTGCCCAGGGCCGCCTTGACCGTGCCCTTGGTGGTGCCCTTGAAGAGGCCCAGCAGGCGGCTGCCCTTTTTCCCGTGGCTGGCGTCCTTGCCGGCGTTGATGTCGGCCTCGCCCGTGTTGCTGCTGGCGGCACCTGCGCTCTCTGTATGGGACATGACTGCGTCGAGCTCAGCCGGCGTCGCATTGAGCGGCGGCCCGGCGCCCGTCGAGCGCAAGTCTGCGTCCGTGACGGAGGCCGGCTGCATGGGCGGCGGAGCATTGTCGGCCGGCCGGCGCGGCGGCGGCGGCAATGGAGCTTTGTTGGCCTCGCCGATGCGCAGCAGCGTGAGCGTGAGCTGGGCGTTGGTGGGCACGCCCTTGAGCAGCGTGTTGCGCAGCGCAAACAGCTTCTGCCAGCGCGGGAACTTGCGGTTGAGCAAAGACAAGCCGCGCGACAGCACCGGGTCGCCAAAGAAGCCGAGCCCGGCGCCGAGCGTGACGCCCTTGGTGAACATGTACGACGAGACTAACAGCGAGACGAGGAACAGCGGGACGAGCACGGCCGCCAGGCGCAAGCGGTACATCTGCCCGGGGAACGGCGGCGTCGGGGACAGCGCGTTGCCCATGCGCTCCCAGGTGTCGGCGACGTCGGCCAGGCCGTGCATCACGGGCCGCATCTTGGTCCACACGGCCGTCTCCATGGGCACCTTGGTCTTGTCGTGCTTGGCGCTGGGCTGGCCGCCGCGGGCCACGTCTTTGGCATCGGCCACACCTGTGGCGAGGGCCGTGGGGTCGGGTACTGTATCGTTGCCGCCCTTTTCGTCCTTGCCGCTGCCGTTATCGCCGTCGTCTCCGTAGTCACCGTTGTTGGGATCACCCTGGGGATGCTTGCCCGCCGCGCTGGCCAGCGCCACCGATGCCACCGTATTGACAAAGTTGGTCGCCTCGGCCTCGGCGGCCTCGCCCTTGTGGTTCTCGGGGGCGCCCGTGGCGCTGTCGTGGCTGCCGAGCACACCGGCCCTAGGTTTCTGCACGCCGCCGTCGCTGCCCACGAGCGCAAGCGGCGCCGGCGGGAACATGGCCTCGCGCACCCACGGCGACACAATGAGCGCAATCAGCGTCGCGGCGCCGAGTGGCACCAGCCCGTCGAGCAGCCAGGCCACGAGGTACACGCCGGCAAACGTCGCCGTCCGCGGCGTCTCGCGCCACGACCGGATCCGCGCCACGTGCTTGTACGCCGCCAGCATGCCCATCCCGACCGTCATGTACAGCCGCTCCAGGTTGGCCCGCAGCTTGTCGGGCGAGAACTCTTCTTCGTCGGCAATGTTGAGGTCGAGGTTGCCGGGGACGGGCGTCTCGACGGCCTTGACGTGGTACATTTGCTGGCATGGAGGTTAGGAGTACTGGTCAATAACACGCTCTAGGACCCGGTCTGGCCTACCTTGTTGAACCGTCGGGTGAGCAGCCACAGCTCCTCGTTGCCGAGACCGCCCACGAGCGGCGACACAATGTCCTGTTTTCTGTCGTGCCACCCGAGATCGGCGACCTCGTTCGTCTTGTGCGCCTGCTGGGCGGCCCCCTTGTCGTGCCCGGGCTGGCCGTCGACGGCCAGCTCGTGGGACAGTGTCGGCGTGTCGGTGACATGGCTGCCGCGCGCCGTCGTGTCTGGGTCCGTGACGGGGGCCGTCGTCGACGGGATCGGCAGGGCATCGACAATCTGCTCGCCCATGGTTTTGTCGGCCTTTGTGCTGCTGGCCCGCGCGGCGCCGTTGTCTTCGAGCAGCGATTTCTGGCGTGCCGCCTCCTTGTCAATGTCCAGCATGGACGTCGACATGGTGGAAGGTGGGTGAGGAAGATACTGTGTGCTCTGTAGATTTGTTTTGATCTGTAGTTTCTGTATTGTGCGGTAACAAAAAAAATGATGCCGGTGATCGCTATAAGCTATGGAATCGCAGCATGGTCGCTAATCTAGCAAAATGGTACAGTACCATCAATAAATACTACGTATTTAATCCAGGGGCATCTCCTGACTGTTGAACAAAGTACATCCCTTTCGACGGTCTCTTTGTCTTTACTCGTATTGTTTCCATCGCCGTCTAGAACCAATGTAAAACATTCGAGAATGAATGACGTCGATGGCTCCAGGGCAGCCCACTCAATCGCCCATTCTCCCCACTGTTTTGTTGCTTTAGTGGCCCGCGCCAGCATTTTGTAGCGCAGTTGTCAGTGTCCTACTGCTAGAACGACAGCACGTGAAAATCATAATCGATGAAAAGTAATTACTCTGTAATTGTACAGAGGAGGTTGTTTTCTCTTCCGTTGTCATTGTTCACGGCCTTCTGGGCTTGTGAATTCGATTCTTTACCTGAACCTTCTCTGGTGTAGATCCGAAAGCACACAGCCACCAATGTGTTCAGGTACATGAGATGGCCCCACTTTTCCTTGACTTACAAGCATTTATTCTGTACGGCATACACTTTAAGACGAAGTTTACGATTTGTGCGAGTATTTACGGTAATTCTTGCAACGATATGTCTTCGAGGAAATCATACTTTGGTGTTTTATGTGTAGGTGTTTTGTATTATTTAAAATTTCTCACGTCTTACCTATGCATCTTGCTTGTGAGAACAAAAGCAGTTACAAGTTACGAAAATAGGGAAACGGACAATTTTTGTTTTCGTAAAAAGCGTCTGTTCTGACCTGCAGTAGACACATTTATTTATTTTTACTTTAAAAAGGAAAAAAAAATGAAACAGAAAGGAGAGAGAATCAGACCAAGCGCAACTACAACTCTACGCCTACAAAACTCACCTTTGAGAAACACTGAAACTTACGAGCGCATCTTCTGGTTGCTCGCGGTTGCGGCGGCAGCACGATCCTACAAGACCTGCAGCATACGCGCCCAGATGGGCGTCGCCAACATCTCAGAGTTGGACAGGCTGCGACGACGCAGCCGCCTCCGCATCCATACGCAGAAGCTCCTCGACGGGAGGGCCGAACAGCTCGCGCTCCAGGTCGGGCGGCATCTTGTAGCCGTCGTCGCCGACGTCAATGACGACACAATCGTCGTTTTGGGGAACAAAAAGGTCGCTGTCGTTGTGGTGGCCCACCGAGGCGTCCGCTGTGACGGAGTTCTGGCTAGGACAGTCGATGGGAAGGGGGTAGTAGAGCTCCATCTGAGCGACTGGGGCCAGAGCGCCGTTCTTTGAAAAGGGCACGGGCGATCCCAGCGACAGCGTATTGAAATCGCAGACGGCGGGCGTCAGAAGACCGTCCGAGGTCGAATTCGGCTTGTTGGCGGACCAAACCCTGCGCTTTCTGCGCTCCGTGTCGCCGTCGGCCGCGCCAGGACTCGCCTTGCGCTTGGTCGACGACGTGGAGGTGATTACCGCTGCGATGGCCATTTTCCTTCTTAGTAAATGTTCGTGTTGCTTGTACGGGAATGTAAGAAGGCTGTATGTCTGAAAGGGTGGGAAAGGGTGGTTCTGCTGGTTTCGAACGAGAAATGCACGACGTGAGAGGTGCGGCAGAGGCAGTATTTATAAAAAGTGTGCAATCCAGCCTTGTTCGTCATCTTGCGACTGTTTGGCAGTACAAGACAAATCTCATTGTTTTTAGTGATGGTGTTCACAACAAAGCAGTATGGTCTCTGCCGCGCGTTGTGCGCCAAATGAGTTTGTTGTTTGTCTACTCTTGTCGATATTGCACAAAGACAGTAAAGTCGTGCAAAGAACACTGTTCAATGCCCTTGTTTTAGCAAAAGGATAAAGGCGAAAGCAACGATGGGGCGGGAGTAAAAAGATAAGAAACTCAAAATAGAAAGATTTTTTTAAAAAAAAAATGAAATGAAGGAAGGCAAAAATACATAGTTATATGTATTTAAATAAAAAGTCAAAAGGGGAAAGAAAAAAAGAAATGCGTCAGCCGGGATTTGAACCCGAAGCCTGTCGAGTTTGCCTGGTGTTCGCTGACTTTGGCGTGTAAGTGAAGGCGTCGTGGGTCGGTATTCCCTCTTTTTTAAACGACATCCAAATAAAGTTCAACGGGTCTCGTTCAATATTTCTGACGAAGGCTTCGACGTCTTCTCCCGAATTCAGACACTCACCCATCACGGAGTTTGGAATTGATTCAATTGCTATAGGTTCCATCTTGTTTGTACTAGTTACATTACTGGATCGAATGCCGTCTTCGTTTTAGTGGCCTTGCCTCAGCCTCCACCTCGCTCTCTTCTTGGCTCTCTTCTTGGTGCTCTTGATTCCTCGCCGCCTTGCGCTCTTCCAGCATCTTGATGAGTCTCTTTCTTCGCAGTGCGGCCTCCACCTCGCCCTGTTTCTTTGCTTCGTCCTTGTTCTTCTTCCTGACATCGGCCGGCAGCACGTAGAAGAACTGCTCGCGCTCGGACAGCTGGTCCCGGATTTCCTGGCGGGCCGGGCCCATCGACGGCTGCCCGTCGACCAGCTTGCGGTCTGTGACCGACACCGGCCGGCGGGCATCGTAGTCCGATACCGCCACAATCATCTTGTCTTGCGCTTCGCGGCGCTCCGCTGCCTCACGCCGGAGGGCCGGATCCACGTCGGCGTTGAGTTTGTCCCACGGAGGCGGTTTGATTCTCGTGTACCCGTCGAGCTGGTGCACGGGCCGGGATGACACATAGTCGTAGCGGTCTAAGCTGCTAGCACGATCCTGCAGGCCGCATTTCCGCAGCTTGGCGACGAATTCGGACGACTTTAGCTTCCGGATGGGATACAGGACACCAGGTGGCAGCGGGGGCGACTCGCGCGGTGGCAGATAGCCGGCCGGTCGGTGTCGGAGCTGATCAAAGGGCGAGATCTGGGACTCGATAAAGTACGTATCCGTCTCGACGGACTCGAGAATCTCAGGAAGCTCGATGGCTGGAATGTCGGAATAAGGTTCGATCGGCTGGAGAGCGGGTGTTGCCGGCCAGACGAAGGGTTGCGGATCCTGTTGTGTTGTGCTTGTGTTGATTTGAGAGTCGGTAGGTTGAGGCATTGTTTCATTTGGGGTGTCCAGAGTGATGTCCGTCTCAGTGGTGTCCATGTCGGTAATGGCCATTTCCGTAACGTACATTTCCGTAACGTCCATATTAGTATTAGGAACGCCCATGTTGAAAGTGTCGAGTTAGATAGTGACGTCAGGTTAGATAGTACTGTGACTGTGAGAGCGAGACGTGGTAACAATATCAAAATGGACGATTGTTTTGAGAGACGTGGGAAGATTATTTTCTTTTGTAAGGAAAAGAAAAGAAACGACAGAGGAGAGTCAGATAAAGGCGAGACATTTTAAAGTTCAGCGAGTGAAAGCCCTTTATCAATCTATGTAGCAGTTGAAATCTGATATATATGATGTGGCATGTGCAAGTAGCAGCTCACTATCAAGGAGTGCATATGTACCTTTTCGATCAAACATATGAAGTTACGTGACTTTGATAATGTAATAAACGACCGACTAGTATAGCCAACGGCCACTCACTTGAATCTTAAATATTCCTCCTGCTTATTCACGACTGCTATTTACGCACGCCTCGATACTCTCTGTAACTGTTTGTCCAGTCATACGATGACAATCATTGTTGTCGTTGGTATATTATCTCATCTTTTGCGAAGTGGTGTACGGAGAGAAGGGGGCGGATAAATAATTATCATAGGGTTCCGCAACGCCACAACACACCTAAGCGTGGAAGACTGTGGCCATGCGTATTTATGACACTCTTCTTGAATTTTAAATCTTTTGGAGAATCCTCAAAATGGACCATTTTCTTTTTGGCCTTAATCGGTGGGGGAAAAGCATTGCGTGTTGTGATGCCCATTTGTTTTATGCCCATTCTGTTCTATCCGTGTGTTATACCCATTTGTTATTTTCATTGACTTCTTGGCAAGCTGAACAGGATTTGCTCAACGGGATTTGATTCCCGGCTGACACTTCTAAAAGTGAATTACTTTTGTGATCACCTGTGTCGTACTTTGGAGATGTTCTGCATAGATTATATTGGTATGGTAAAACATTGGCACATAAAAAGCCAAAGGAAACTGCTTTGTTTGCCAAGTGAATGGATTTGCAAACAAAGAGGTCACTGCTTAACGGTGTTATGGGCCACGCCGGCCTCGTCAGATAGGACAATGTGGTGGATCCACTATTACAGTCCTGAGCATCTGGAATGCTTTTGACAGTGCGCCAACCGCTGCAGCGCTAAATTTGCTAATAGGTGCCCCGCGTTCAGCGACGCGTCTCCCGGCCTCTAGCTCCACATCGAAGCTACAGTATCACCACCACCACGAACAGGCGTCGACAACGGCTACTGATTGGCAAAGCATCACTCGCAACCTTTCTGCTAGCGACGACGGGGGATAGTGTTCTCGACAGCTGATCTCGACGTCTCTCTCTTGTCACTCGCATCTCTCAATTGATATGGCCATTGGCCAGTCACCGGCGGCATCATCGTTTGTTGACATTTCGCCTTCCGCGACCTCCCCGTTCCTCGACTTCTTCTGCTTTACATCGATCACCTCGACAATTTCCTTTCCCTCTCCCTTTCAGTTATCGTCCACAACCAGCCCCCCACGATGCGTCGCTTCATATCGCCCGGGCGGATTGCCCTGCTGACGCTGGTCGATATGTACTGCAGCGAGGCCATCCGCGACAAGGACGATGACTTTATTCTCGAGCTCATCGCCTGCTACGTCACCGACACTTATGCCCGGCCCACCAACCAGCGGCAGCGCTATCTTGCACGCTGGCAGCGTGCCTTTCTGAGCGTCGACCTGCTCGGCCACCTCCACAGCCTGCGGCCGGCCCTGCAGCGCTGTTTTATTGCCTTTGCCCCGCCGAGCACCGACGTGCCGCTGTGCGCGACGCTCTGGGACGACCTGGTCGCGCGGCTCTGGCTGCGGCTGACGGCGCTGGACGACTTGGGGCCTTTCTTCGAGCAGCTGGCCATGTACATTGCGCCCACCTACGCGGAGCTGCGGGCCCACCGCGACCTGGGCATCGAGGACCCGCCGGACGATCTGCTGCTGCTGGACCGCCGCTCGCCCGTCGGCCTCATGGTCTACCAGGCGTGCAGCGAGTTCCAGCAGCTGTCATTTGCGCACCGCTGCGAGCTGTGGGAGGACTTTGTGCGCTACCGCAACCCGACGCGGACCGACTTCAAGATCCTGTGGCCGCACGACTTTGGCGTCGACGACCTGCTGTTCGACGCCGTCCTGACGCAGGGCCAGGCCGATTGGGGCGCCGCGGGCACGGACGCCGTGGCGCGCGTCGTGTTTGACCGCATGCTCAAGGACGCGGCCGTGTCGGCGAGCCACGACGAGACGGAGAAGCTGGTCACGATGCTGATTGAGCGCGAGCGCATCGGCTTCCGGCCCACGCCGGTCCTGCGGGACGCCGCCGACGCGGTGATCCGGGGCGCCACGCCCATCCCGTCCCAGGCCACCTTCTACCGGCTACTCAACGCCTGGCGTATGGGCGACATCAACACGGCCTACGACCAGCTGCACCGCTACTTTGACCTCGTGTCGCGCCAGGGCGTCGGCGCCGCCTTCGGGTACAACGTGGGGCCCATGAACAAGGGCGTCATCCAGCGCGACTTTGGCGAGCACTCCAACGACCTGCTGAGCATGCTCGACGCCGTGCACGCCGGCCGCGAGGCCCGCGACTACAACTCGCTGCGCTTCGCGCTGCTGTGGCTCTACATGTACGCCCGCGTGCTGCCGCGCCACATCCGCCCGCACCAGCTGCAGGGCCTGGCCGGCGAGGCCACCGACGGCCGCCAGGTCCTGCCCTACGTCCGCGACGACGCCGACGCCGCCCAGTTCCACGGCCACCATGCGCTAGCCACGCTGCTCGAGGCCCGCGTCGCCATCGGCGACGGCCGCCCGCCCCTCTTCGCCAAGACGTGCCTGCACCAGGCCAGCCGCCGCATCGTCCAGCACGGCGAGGCCACGCTCGAGGGCCAGCTGACGAGCACGCGCATGCTCTTCTGGGACCGCATGGGCCACGGGCCCCTGGCCGTCGTGCACGGCCGCGTATTTATGCGCACGCGCCACGACAGCGTGCCCTTTGACGACGCCGTGCGCGTCGCCTCGCGCCTCGCGCTGCAGTACGCCCAGAGCGGCCAGTTTGCCCACGCCAAGGCGGTGCTGGACCAGCTCAACCCCGAGGGGCTGACGTCGCTCAAGCCGCAGGGCATGGTGCGCCACGTCCTGACCTACGTGGCCGCGCTCCAGGCCGTGCGTTCGCACCGGTTCGACGAGGCCGCGGACTTGTTGCTGCGGCGCCTGCCCACGGCCGGCTACCCGTCGTGCGCACCCACGCGCGTCGACCGCCAAGCCCAAGGGCCGTCGCAGATGGACCCGGACCTGGCCGCCCAAGTCGCCCTTCTCCGCGTCGCCTCCCTCACCCGGCGGGCCGGCGACGGCAGCGACGGCAGCGACGCGGCGGCCAGCGACGATGCGAATCGTACCGGCACTGGCATTCTTGGGGGACCTGGCGACGACACCAGCGGCGGCGGCTCCCTGGTCGCTGCCCGCGACGCCCTCGACCGATTCGAGGCCGCCTACGACAAGGGCGTCGGCGACCTGCACGTGCTGCTGCAAATCGCCCTGGCCCGCGCCGCCTTGTACGCCAGCGCCGGCCGCGGCCTGCGTGCCGTCACCCTGCTGCTGCACACCCTCCAGGCCTGCCTGCGCCGCCGCTACCATGTGTTGCTGTGGGAGACCGTCGGCGCCGTCGCGCGGCTCCTCGTCGCCGAGGGCGAGTTCCGCGCCGCCCGCACGCTCCTGGGCCTCGCCCTGCCGCGGTCGCTCGAGACGGGCCATGCCGAGACGTCGGCGCTGCTGTACCAGTCGCTGGCGGATGCCTGCATGGGCTTGGCGGGCACGGAGGCGGGGTCGTCCCCAAACACACCGGCCGCGAAACAGGCCGGCCGCATGAAGCAGCATATGGGCCGCGCGTGGTGGTATCTCGGGCAGGCGCAGGCGTGCTTTGACCGTGCGGGCAGCGGCCGCACGGTGGCCCACGAGATCACGATGAAGCGGCAGGTCATCCTGTCGGTGGCCCAACAGGTGGGCGGTATTGGGGTGTAGGACAAAAGGGAAAGGGAAACAATACAGCGGCGGGTAATGGGGAGCATGGATATTGGCGTTCACTACATGGGTGGGATGTCATAGCATGGAATTTGCGTTTTCGGTTTGTTGCTTTCATGTCACATCTATACCCTTACGTAGGAGCACCGGCAGAGTGCTGTAAAATCATAAATAAGTTATACATATTTTGTACAAAAAGGTATCCCATACCAAATATCATACACATGTCTTCGTAGTCGTGCAAGATGGCTTGCTAGTATTTGCCGGAACCCCCTAGTCCTGCATCTCTTCATCACTATCCCCGTCGTCATCCTCGTCATTTTCGCCCAACAACAATACATCAAACAAATCTGTCTGCTCTTGCAGTGACCGCCCCAAGTAAGTTCGACCCTCTTCAATGTACTGCACCATGCGGTCGGCCTCCTGCTCGATGCGCGCCATCTCGAGCCGGATGCTGCCCACCGACTCACGCAAGTGCTGCAGCGACTGCGTCATCTCGCCCTCAATTGCTGTCTGCCGCTCGGCCTCGGCCCGAACGCGCTTCTCCAGGGCTGCCAAGTCCGCTTCGCTGCGCTGGAGCTGGCGTACGGCCTCTTCGGTCTCGGCCTGCGGTGTGAGGTCGAGCCTGCTGCCATTGCCAGTGTCCGTCACAATCGCATGGCCCGGTGTCGATGCCGACGTTGTCGAGGCGGCCGCCAGCTGCTGGTGTGCCTCGGCCGTGGCCTTTTGGATGCGCACGTGGAAGGCCTTGTGCGACTCGCCCTTGGGCGGCGCGCTGTCCAGAAACAGGGCCGGCACCATCTGGCTGCAGCCGTGGCACCGCCGCATGGCCGTCGCAGACGTGGCCGCTGCTGCTGCGGCCTCGTCGCCAAAATCGACAACGTCGGTCGCCTCGTTCTTGGAGGCGCTCGGGCCCTTCTCCAAGCCGTGCATGGCCTGGTGCAGCTGGTGGAACGCCTCCGAGTAGAAGCTGCGGCCGCACGTGGTGCACGGATAGCTGAAGGCTGCAGGCGGGGCGGTCCTCCCACCACCTCCACCACCCGAACTAACCCGGTCGATCGCGTCCAGTTCGGCACGCAGCGCCAGTTTCAGGCGTGCCAGCCGGTGCCTCAGCCGCAGCACGCGGTCCGGCAGGCGTATTGTCTCGGCTTCCGCCATCTCCAGGTACCGCTGCTCGGCCGCCAGGTCGCGGACCAGGCGCTCGGCCGCAGCGCCCTGTTCGCGGCCGTTGCTCTTGATCTGGCGCAGCCGCTGCCGCTCGGCTTCGGTGCTCTGCACGATGCGGTCGATGTCGGCGGCGGTCAGCAGCGGCAGCTCGAGCTCCAGAATCCGCCGCACGACCGTCTCTTTTGTCAACTGCTCCTTGTACGAGAAGCGCAGCTTCTTGAACAAGCCCTCGAGGTAGTCCAGCTCGTCGAGGGCCGTATGATAGTCTGGCGTGTCGTCGTCGTCGTCGTCGTCGTTGTCATCGTTCTTCCCCGTCCGCACCTTCACAACGGCCAGCAGCGTGTCGAGGCTCTGCTGCGTCTCGGGCGCCTGCAGGTACTGCGCCATCTGGTCCATGTGCACGAGGTTGACGTAGGTGGCTGTTGGCGCGTAGAGCGCGTCGAGGGAGGCACCGCCAGAGCCCGAGCCGAAAGCGAGGCCCATGTCGACGGGCGTTGTCGTCGGCACGAGCGGCGCGCCTTCTGTGGGTGTCGGCGAGGAGCCGTAGCTGTTGAAGCCAGAGGCCGACCCTGATGCAGACGCCGACACAGAGACGGACGAAGCACGCGTTGACGCGCTCAGGTCGACGGATGACGCGTCCGTCGACTCGCCCGAGCGGCGGGAGGCACCTGAGCGCGTCGAGCGTGCCGACGTCGCGCCCGAGGACTGTGTTCGTGTGCGAGGTGGCATTGTGTGGTCGTGTCGAGTATGCAGTCAAATGCAAACGCGTTCGGTCGAGTTGCAAAAACGAGACGCGTCGAGGGAGGAATCTGTCGTGATGGGAGGTCGAGTCAGGGTGAACGGAATGTCGCAGCTGCTGGGTGTTCTGGAAGCGACCGCTGTATGCAAGCCCTTAATGGATGTTGGTGAAGTGAATGAACGGTGGATTCTGCAAACGGCATCTGGAAAGTAAACAAAGTGGGGGTTTGTTGACAGCAACCATAGATCGGCGCTAGTCCAAAGGCAGTAATTTTTTGATTAGTCAGAGGAACGACATACATCTACATGTACACATACGAGACGGCGAGGATGTCAACTTCAATCGACAAGACGTGAAAACGTATCTAACTCTTCTTTCTGTATATGAATGGGGTGGTAGTACTGTCACTATCAAGGGACTGGAACGGAATTGCGGCGTGGGAGTAATGGGGGTGTTGGAACAGAGTATCGTCGGTTGCGTCCAAACATCCAAAAAGCTTCAGCTTTCACCCATTGACGTTAAATCGCTCTATGACTTCCGGGAAAATTGGAGGATATTCGTGAATGTATTTCAATGACATTGTAAAAATTTCTGACATATCTATGGTATATTTATGACTGGAAACCTTGAAAGCACGCAAAGGGGATACCTGGTGGTGATTCATAGTCGTCTGATGTCTGCTTTTCCAGCATTTTCGGCACCTCGTCACCATTGGAACTCGCCATTGTCCCAGCCACCACATATTGGGAGGCTCTCATCTCTTCTTACCATTTTTCTGAGCCTATTGATGCTATTGTGACACATGGGCGGAGGCCTCGCTCCTTCCTTTTTGGTCTCCAAGGCTCCAAGGTAAAGTGGATGTCAAAGACTCCCCAGAGATATAATGTGACCTTCTCTCCCTCTCTTCTTGTCTCTCTTCTTCCTTATTTTTTTCTCAACCATAGTGTTGCTTTTGCTACTTTTATCGAGCGGTTTCTGCTTCCTTTTCACCATTCTGCGCCTTGTAGCATCGACACCTCGGCATCAGTGACACTGGCATACACCACAACTTTATCACTGCCACTGACAACATATCTATCATGGCTCACAAAGCCTATAAGCCAGCGACGCGGCAGCTCGAGGCCACAGCTTATGGCCATGACGAGGTCAATCGAGTCCCTTTTCACGGTGCAGGCACCTACGTTCCCGTCAACGGTATTTTGTCTCTTCTTGTATAAATTCAGGCCACAAGCGCAACCACTAGGACATCAACTGACTCGGGAAGAAACACACAACTCTGGCCATGCTCATCATGCCTCCATCGACACACCTAAGCATGTGTCGCATGAGCCGCCCATCCGCATTGATCCCGCTGTAAGTAGGTCGTGGAACAATCTGCTTCTCACCCTTTTCTGACGTGCATTTCAGTTCACGCAAACGGAGATTTACGATGCCGAGGCCGATTGTGCTGCGTGTGGCGCCATCCATGTCGGAAATTCCGGGGATGTCCCAGCTGTGAAGTCAGCCGAGGCTCGTCTTGCGACCTTTTGTATGCACGGCGAAAGCGACCTTGTTCTTGGCCATCTGGCATGGGGCTACCGACTGAAATACCACCACATGGTGTTTGCCGTGCACATGAGCATGTCCGGCACCTTTCCCGAATACCGCCACAGACTCCTTCGACCCTACCAAGTCTCGTCGAAGCCGGATGCTTGTGACGTTGCCATCAAGCAATTTGTCCGGCCCATCGTCACCGTCACCGAGCGTTGTCCGTCGTTCCTATTGTACCGGTCGACACAGGTGTCTCGCCATGACGGACCACAGAGCGAACCATTGGACTCCATCTCCATTGGGCACTTGTACATTTGCCCTCATGCCAACGTGACCGGCGCGGACCACGTCGCGGCCGTCACCAACTCGGCCATCGAAAACGCCATTGCCAATGCGAACATGGGCATCTCTGCAAAGCAGCATATCTCGTGCCGCAGATGTCCGACTGACATTGAGTTGGTGTCCGAACCGGGCTGTGTCACAGTTCGTTCTTGGCACAATATGGGCTACTCCAATACCACCCCCACGTCTCCGGAGTGGATGGTGCACGTTGTCTCGCCCGGAAACAACGAGTTTGTTGGTCCGGTGGTTCGTCACCGGCAAGGATCCATCCGTGCACGCTACGAGAGGGCCATCCAGCAGCAAGATCTCAACAACGACGTGTATACGCAGGATGACGAGAACAATCCGATGACGTCGGCTGCCCTCCGGATCGCTGGACGCACCCTGCTCGGCTACCGTGTCCAAGGCCGTCGTGAGCTCAGAGGCTACTGAAATGCAGGGGCAGTGGAACTGGTTGTACATGGTGCAATCCTCTTCCTTGTTCTATCTCGGTTGCTATCCATTGGTCCTTCATCATCCTGATACTTTGTCCACGGTGCATTGATTCTTGCTTTTATATTTCCATCAATATTTTCTCTTTCCTGGCTTTCATGGTTCGACTTACTATATCGTTCTTCTTATTTACTTACCAACAATGCACAGTCGTTGTCATGGTGTATCATTGTGCCGTCCTGTGGAGGGATGCCGTTTTTTATCTTGTTTCTTATTCTTCCATCTAATATGTCGGCTTATTTTTCTTGACTCAATTCTTTTCTTTTCTTTGATTTCTTGTACGCTCACTTTTGTCACTGTTGTCTGTTTATTCTATAGTTACTTTATTTTTCATCTTCATTTTCTTATACGAACATCCATAATGTAAATGCATGACTATCGTGACCGATTATGCCCACTGCCAACGATTCTACCAGACAGACTGTACGAGTACCGTACGCTCATGACACTTCATAGTAGACGTACATCAGAACAACTCTCATCTAAAGCACCATATTATTTTTTAATGCGATTCGTTTTGCTTCCCAGCTATCGAACTTGGCCGGCACGTTGCCGCCCATGTAGGTCGAGGTGGCCGGAAATTCAAAGATTTCGATTGCCGAGTAATTCATTGTATTGTCTCAGCGTGCCGCCCCTCAGTAGCCAGCCACTCGTTTCGTGCCCGTTATTCTATCTCAAACCGCCAAAGAATAACGGCCAAATTGTCCGACGCCTGTAATTCCTTCTGCAGGGACATACCATCTTCCTCACATGCATCCTCCATCCATGTCCATCGATCTTCAAGGTCACGTGTAGACTAAATGCCTGTGCCCGAAAAGGCCGCCCGTTGGAAGCTATCCGACTCGCCAGATAAGATCCATGGTATGCACTCCGTGCGGTCTGCTGCCTTCCATGATGCTCGGTCGAAACAATAGGACGTAACGTCGTAGAGGCTCTCCTGTTGGCTTTTCTCTGGAAGCTCACCGTATGTTCGTCTTCCCTTAATGCGACTCGCTGTTTTATTTCTTTTTGCTTCGTAGGTCTGGTTGTTGCCGCTGCGGCTGAACCTTTAGGCGCCACTATTGTCTGCAGAGGCCGGGGGGTGGCGTACGAAACTGGAGATGATGGGCATCGTGTGCTGTAGTTCGACATATTGTACAGATTAGAGGTGGTGGTGGAGAAGGACGGCGGCCGAGGAGCTAATCCTGTCGAAAGCGAGTAATGCGACAAAATGAGGAGGCGACGACGAGGAGATGACAGGGGACATCGCTGATAGCCAGGCCCAGAACGGGAAGAACCTCAGAGAACAAGTGACTGGGCATTGCTACTTCTTCCCCTGTCGCTTGCTGCTAAGACCAATCTTATGTCGACATGCCAGACGCACGACAAATAAGGCAAAAACGTCTGCCAGTGATGCCACGAACATTATGGCGTCGCCGCGGTATCCTAGGGAAACACCCACTCTCCCGCCTTCCGCCATAACCTGTTCCTCAGTTTGGACGTCTACAACACTGTGCTCCGTCTCCAGATACTCTGATCGCCGTCAGCGTCCCATCCATCGCCGTCAGCGTCCCATCCATCGCCGGATGCGTATGCCATGACGTCTATTCCATGCGGCGATGTTCAGCCGCTTTGGACCGTTCTCTGTCGCCGGCTCACCGCCACAACAGTCTCGCTTGCAACGGCCGTGGGAACGGTCGCTCTCCATACGTTTCCCATCCTCTCGTCGATTCCCGACATTGTCCCCAGAGCCAATCTGCTAATCTGCTGGCTCTATTGTTTCAATGCCCATAGCTTTCGATGTAAGATCGGCCAGGCCCTGTTTAGCTCAGTAAATGCGGGGAAGTGGAGGATCTCGGCGCACCGGATACCCCAATAGTTAGACTCGGCCAGGCCTTTTAGGTTTTGCGTCTCTGTCCTGGCTTGCTTGCCACTAGCACCTACCGAGGCGACCTAGGTCTTTCCTTCGCTCTTTCACTCTCAGGACGACTCGTCGCCAGACCCACTGGCTCCTGCCTTTTGGCCTCGCCTCCAGTCTGTCTCGCTCTCCCTTTGCGCCTGCCCTGCCAGTCTCAGCTGGCGTGCCTCCGTCGCTTCCTCTTCCGCTCCTGACTTTTTGACTTTCTCGCCTGTTACCATTCGCGTTGTTGATTTTTGATCCAACGGCGCCAAAACACGCACCACCAACTTACATCTTGCGCAACCAGCCGTACTGTGCGTGGCCCTCGGCTACCAACGAGCCGCACATCACAGCGACGACAAGGACAGAGCTACGAGAAAACCAACCACTGCCCATTGCCTGTCGCGTCACTACCCGGCCCGCCCCACTGCGAGAGGACGTCGCTGCAGTCTTTTCTCCGGAGCACGGCAGCAACAATACAACGTTACGAGAGCACAACGACAATCACGACTCAGCGGCAGACTGCCGCCGTACGACGGCAACGACAACGACTACCTACCCATCTTGTCGTGTGATCCCAGGCCCAAGACGCCCTGCACGTCACACGCCTCCGTTCTTGGCTTCTTGACCCACCTGCGTCGTATCCCGGCGCTTCGTTGCCGCCCTTATCGGATCCGTTCCTCGTCCCACCCGCCGCAGGCAATGAGACAATGAGACGCCAAAACCACTCCTGTGATCAGTGCCGCAAGGCCAAGCGGGCGTGCGACGCCCCCTCCCTCCGTGAGTCCGTACGCCGCAGCCTGCTCGCCGACTCCGACAAGAGCGATGCATTGCTCGGCCGGGATTCGAATGGTAAGTGTCGAGATCTTGCTCCCCCGCTCGTCTCCCTGCATATTGTCGCAATCGTGATCTTGTGCCGTCCGAGCCTAACCCAACAACAGCAGCCAATGGCGCGTCAATACCAGAGACAGAGTACCGGCCTTGCTCGTACTGCCTCAAGACCAGCAAGCACTGCACCCTGAACTGGGCACGCTCACAGCTGCTGGCCTCACAATCTGCGGCAGCCACCCGCACCGTTGAGCTCCGCCAGAAAAAGCGGCATCGTGCAGCGGACACACAGCAGACGCAAGCACATACGGCCGCGGCTGGCACATCCGCTTCGGCGCCGCCAACCTCCTCAGTAGCACCGCCGACGGGGCTGCCGTTAGCATCCATCTTCCCCTCGCCCCCGCAGTCATCGACGTCGACTCTGCGCACAACATCCGAAATTGGCGATATCAGCGGTATGCCGTCTTCCGTTCCACTGACGACAACGACGGCCAACGTCGATATGTCGGCATTCTGGAGTACCACCCAGCCGTCACCGTTCCAGTCCCTGACAAATCCTCTCGACCCCTTTGTACCACTCCCTAACACACATCATCCGCACCACCCGCAACAACATCACAACTTCACCAATGGCGTCGACGTATCGACGATTAGCTTTGACGCCGGTGTGAGCACGGACGGTACCGCTGGCTTGATTGGTCTGCCCTTCAACGGCATGCCTGCGACCACAACCGAGCTTGTCTCACGGCCTGCGTTCCACAACATGGTGACGCCGGATCCCACAGCGCTATGGGGTGTGATACCGGGCCAGACAAACCTCAATGTCACCACCAGCGAGGCCATGCTCGACCTGTCACCGCCCGAGGTCTTCTCCTCGGTCAACGGCGAGGAGGAGGACGGTGCGTCGTCGTCTGTCATCAACGACAGCTACTCCATCCAGCACGGCTCGTCCTTTGCCCAGCCGCAATATGGCGAGGTCGGCGCGCGTCGTGTGTCCTCATACTCCCTGGTGTCGCCCACACCCAACCAGGTCGAGTTTATGCTGGCTACGCGCATGAACAACCACAGCATCTCCGAGAACCTGCTGCAGATCTACCACGATGTGCTCGAGCACAACCTCACCTGCTGGATCACCGAGGAGACGTGTCCGTACAATGTTTGGGCCCGCCCACCCAAGCAAAAGCCCATCAGATCGCTCACCAACGGCTCCGTCAACGGCGACATTCCCACGATGGCTGTCGGCGGCCGCCGCACCTGGGCACCGCAGGCCAACTACAAGCAGCAGTTTGGTCCCAAATGGTCCAATCGTATCTACCGCCGCGTCACCAAGCTCGACAAGCTCGCGCAGCAGGTGGGCATCATGCGCCTGACCGCCGCGCAGAACCAAGCCAGCCAAAAGGCCCTGCACCTCGTCATCATGGCCTTTGCCACCCAATGGGCCCAGGGCAGCCAGCGCCAGCGCGAGACCTATGCGGGCGGCTTCGCCACGATGAACTACGCCACCACCGAGGAGTTTGATCGCAGCATCCAGCGCTCCCTGTGGCAGCAGGCCCGCATCGCCTTGCAGGACTGCGCCGACATCGAGTCGTACCGTGTCGTCTGTGCCGAGCTCATCTTCAGCATGACCCAGCGTCCCTGGGACGAGTATGAATTCGCCGAGCTCGAGCTCACCACCAGCAACGCCCAGTACGGCAACGGCCCGCTGTCGGCCGATGACGGCGACGGCGACGACGGCACCAACGACAGTGGCGCGGAGGCCCGCCGCCGTCGGGAGGCCATCCTCGACAAGCTGAACGAGGTCATCGACAAGGACGGACCGCCCATTTTCATCGAGCGCGCTGCCCGCAAGATGCACGCGCTCAAGTTCAAGTTTGACAACCACGAGCTGGGTTTCTTGGGCGAGCAGCCGCCCGGCAGCATGCCCAAGAACGACAGACGCAACGGCCGCTACACGCGCGACGTCACCGACCCGTCGTCGCCCTACCTTGGCTCCGAGGAAAGCCAGACCGTCGGCTTGCTCTTCTGGCTGGCTGTCATGTTCGACACCATCTCCGCCTCGATGACGGAGCGTCCCGTGGTCCTGGCCGACGAGGAGAGCCAACACGAGGCTGCCGAGCACGACGACATGTTCCTTGGTAAGGAGGTTCGTCCGGATGGGACGGGCGGTCCTGGTGGTACTGGTCCAAACGGCGACGGCAGCAACATTGGTATGGAGGACATCCGGAACGCCATGTACAGCAATGGCAGCGGAAAAGGCAAGGACGGTGACGGAACCGACCCGGCCAATGTGGCGGCCAGCAGCAAGCCGGGCAAGAAGAACAACCGGTGGCGCATCGACCTGTTCATCCAGGACGACCCGGAGCGAATGTCGCACTCGCCGTACCACTATCCCTGTGCGTACGACGACGCGGCGAGCATCATCACGCGCGCGGCGCCGGTCAAGGTGCTGCTGTACCGCCAGGTGCTCTACCTGCAGAACATGCTGCGCAAGCCGTATCTCGCCAAGGGCCAGCCCATCGAGGAGCTCATCAGCGAGACGCTCATGATCTACCGCTACTGGAACCTGACGTACGGCGCCTTCTACCGCGAGCTGATCGAGCACTACCCCACGGTGCCCACGCGCATCCGCGGCTGGTTCGTGTGCATCCTGGCCCACTGGCACCTCGCCGCGCTTATGCTGGCCGACGTCATGGCCGTGGTGGACGACAACCGCCTTGGCATGGAGGTGTCGCGGGCGATGCGGGAACAAGCCCACACCGTGGCCACCATCCGCCGCTCCAGCGCCCTGCAGCTCGCTGACGTCGCCCGCGTCGCCACGCCGCTGATGCCCAACGCCGACGCGGACCCGAGCATGCCCGACTTCCACCATGCCGTGCGCGAGGGCACCATCTTGACCGAGCCGTGGACCATTCTGCTGATCCGCGCCTTTTCCAAGGCCGCCACCGTTCACCTCCGGGCGGCCGACGGGGTCCGCCAGCAAGGGGCGGCCGACCTCCTGGGCCACGAAGGCGAGACCTGTCGCGCAAGCCTGCGCCACTGCGAGGAGTGCATCCAGGCGCTGTGGTACCTGGGCAAGAAGTCAGACATGGCACGCAATGTGGCGGCCGTGCTGTTCCGCGCGATGAACGTGTGAGGTCGTCGAGACGCCGTCGTTTCGGTTCTTGCTCGACTGACATCCTTTTCTTACTTTTTTCCGGATTATGTTCTTCCGCTTATGTAGCCACAGCGACGCCTACTATTCGCTGACTGTTTTCTGATGTCATGTTGCTGGTCGTCTGATTTAATTGGCGTGTTTTCCGGTCTTGATGGGAAACGGATGAAATTGGCCGTCCACTGCTTCTTATGAGTTTGCTTATTTATCATTGGGATACTTACTTTTTATGATTTCGGTGCCATATGTAGTGAATTGTCGTTCGATGACAGCGGAATGGGCGCCTTGAGGGTATGACTTTGATTTGCTGAGCGGGTGTTATTTTCTTCTCCTTTTCGCGCCTCTGGCTTGGGTTACTTTGCTTTTATGAGTCTTGTGAGTACCGGGCTCGGGATGCAGAGGGTCGTTTCCACACGGCAGCGGTCATGTATTTGAGGGTGTCTGGGTGTCTAGGTATTTCGAGCATTTGAATTATGATGGCTGAAGGTTCGGAATTTGGATGCTTTGACGACTTTGGACGCAAAATGGACACAGTTGACAGAGTCGCAAAGCTTTTGAAGTTTTTCTATGGAGTTGTCCTCCAAAGTTATGAGCTTTCAGTTTCAAAGTGAATGTCTTGTCCTGTCGCTGCTTTCTCCACTTCGTGTCTTGGACATTGCTTCCCTTTTGTACAACACATGTCGTATTATGCCAAGTTGATCCACCGAGTGGTGAGAAAGGTGGGCAAAAAAGGTCGTATTGTTTCTCCAACTGTCTTCTCATCTCACTTCATATTACTTCATGTTTAAAATTACGGAGTCACTCCAGGTCATTTCACGCTCCGAATTCCATCGCGAGTCGTGCAGCAATATTCCTTGTTGTTCAAAGCATCTTCGGCAGCCAATAGTACGACAAACTCCCATCCCACACGGCCCATGCGTGCCACCCTCCACAGGCGGAGTGCAATGCCCACATGCACAACCACACCACAACAAGGAGCCTGCAGCGTACATACTCCGTAGGCGGTCGATCGGATCCGCAACTCGTCGAAAAACGCTTCTCCCTTGGCTTGCCAACCGGGTTCTAGGTCCTTTTTTGTCAGTCCCATCTCGTATTACCTCTTTGGGATCTGGGTTTATGTTTGGGTGCGCGGAGTGCGTCTTGTTTGGGGAGTTGGATGGCCCGTCTGAGCTGTCCCGTTTTGCCGCTCATTCTCACAACCGTGTGAAATGAAGTCGACAGATGGGATGACGTAAATCACGTGTGCATGGATCTGGGGTCAGCTTATGGTCTGTTTGGGAGAACGACCCCAAATTTCAGCACGTGACTTCGCGGCAAGGGGATCAAGTCCCAGTCGCGAAACGTCATTCCCTGACGGTGAAAGCTCGCCACCTTCTCGACAAGCTCTGGTGGCTACTTTCTATATACGTTCACGACTGTTGATCTCACCGACTGCCCGAAGCCTCAACACACGTAAAACACACACATACTACAGCCACCAGTTACCGTCGAGCCCCAGAGACTGCGGGCCACGCCCGCATCGTCTAGTCTCGATGGTGTCTTCGAAACCGCCGTCGCCGCCCGTCGCCGTCCACTCTCCAGTTGGCCGTTGTCTGTAACGCCTCTGCTGCCATGCGATGCTGCCAAGGCACGTTTGTCCCCATGTCTGCTTTGTTTACGGGGTCCGGGGGAAGCAGAGTTCCCTCACGTGGACACGACTCCTACCCCAGAGTGTGGTCTGCGGACCATGAGTGAACTGCCGCATCGGCTAACCGGCACCTGCAGATGACGGTGCGCATCGTCACATGGAATGGTATGGTTCACGGCTGTTGTTGGGTGTTGATGTTACCGTTACTTTGGCTTTGCGGCCTCTAACGCGCTTTTCCTCAGTCAACGGCATTCGAAATCCGTTCAAGTACTCGCCATGGAACAAGGACCGAAGCCTCAAGGTACGAAACAAAACAGCAAGCCGACTGACCGACTGTGCCTCCGTCTGACCGCCCTCGACTTGACTTCACACTCACCTCTGGCTGGCCCCTCTTCATACCATACGAGAGCCGCACCACAGACCTTTATGCTGACAGGCCCAGGCCATGTTTGACATTCTCGAGGCAGACATTGTCTGTTTCCAGGAGGTCAAGACACCCAAAGCGAGCTTGACCGACGATCTCGTGTTTGTCGACGGCTGGGACACATTCTACAGCTTCCCGCACACTCTAACAGGTGCGCCAACACCACCCTTTCCCGATCGTACCTTTCCTTTCCGCTCCGACGCACGGGTCTTACTGACAGGTGCTATGAAGGCTACTCTGGCGTGGCTGTCTACACCCGCGACAGCAAATGCGTTCCGCTGCGGGTGGAGGAGGGCGTCACGGGCGTCCTCAAGATCCCCGGCACACAAACGCGGTATGTCGACGCACAACCGGACAAACAGATTGGCGGCTACCCGACCGATAGACAACTGCGCAGGGCCGCTGTGGGCCGCGAAGTCATCGACTCGGAAGGTCGGTGCCTCATCCTCGAATTCCCTCTCTTCGTCCTCATCAACGTCTACTGCCCAGCACGCCGCAACCACGAACGCACGGGCTACCGCAACACCTTTTTGCTCGCCCTCGATGTGCGCATCCGCAACCTGGCCGCCGCCGGGAAAAACGTCGTCTTGTGCGGTGACCTGAACATCATGCGCGACCAGCTGGACACAGCCGGCATATGGGGCCACCAGGGGCAAAAAATGATGTCGGAGGCTCTAGAGTTTGACGAAAACTACATGACCATGCGGGCGCCCAAACTGCTGAGCCAGCTGCTGTTCAACAGCCGTACCGTCTCCGACACCGGCACGCCCTTTATCGACGACGCGGTGGAGACGCGGCGTCCGCCTGTGCTCTACGATACATGCCGCGAACTGCATCCCGAGCGGACGGGTATGTTTACGTGCTGGGACACGCGCAAAAACCACCGGCCGGCCAACTTTGGGTCGCGCATTGACCTCATCATGTGCAGCCCCAAGGTCATGCAGCTCGTGCAAGAAGCAGACATACAGCCGCACCTCCTTGGGTCGGATCACTGCCCGGTCTACGCTGTGCTGCAGGCGGCAATCGAGGACGGTGGTGAAGAGAAAGAGGACGACCCACACACCAAACGAAAAACCTACAGTCTCGACTATCTCAACCCGCCTGGCCGGTTCGTCGGCGGCCAGAACGTGCTGCCGCCAGACGAGGACACTGCGCTGCTGAAAACGCGTTTCCCACAGTCCGCCCGTCGCATGCCGCAGTTTTCCAATCGAAGACACATTGCGAGCATGTTCCAAAAGACACCCAAACTCCCCGCTACTGCTTCGGTTACCAGTGCTACACAAGATGCAAAGTCGTCCGTTCATCCTTCAGAAAGGAATGGCAGTGCTAGAAAAGGTCCCGCAGGGGTGCAGTCGTCTGCACCCGAGCTCCCCGCGATCCTCAAAGCAGAAGCTGTCGAGCTTGTCGAATCCGACGACGAAGATGGCGGTGCGGGGACGATTGAGGACGACGATGTGGCCGTGACGGCGGAGGAGGAGGGGGAGGACGAGGACGAGAGACCTGAATCCGTTGCAGGGCCAGCAGACTCTACGCAGCCGCTGAGCGACATACCAGCAGCGCGCGACGACGACCGAGGATCTCGGCCACCTGCACTCCATGCGAACATCGAAAACACATTATCCGCAGTCGTCTCGCCATCCCTGCCGAGTCGGCCTCTCTCCGAGACGGACAACGTCGCTGCTAACGAAAGCCAACGTGGACATGTGAGCGAGACGTCGGCTGTCCGCAGATATGACGAGCCTTCTCAGTCGACAGATCTTCCCTCTGAAGGCGAGATGGGAAGAACGCCAGCTGGGGAGAGCAGCTTGTCAGAATCCAGGCCAAGCCGAATCCAGTCGTTTTGGGGTGGTCACTCTGGTGTTCCCAAGAGTCGCGAGCAAAGGAATGACGGAGATGACGCGAATGGCTCTAGGGACTCTGGGGATTCTGGGGATTGTGGGGCTGCCTCATCGCTGCTGTCGTCAACTCCGAAACCTAAAACAACCGTACCGTTGTCACAATCGTTGACTCCGTCTCTTCTCCCGACAGGCACGTTACGTCGCAGTCTGAGTGGAACCGGCGGCTCAAACACATCGTCCGTCCGGCCGTCTTCTTCTGTTTCCGCCCGGCCGGCCAAAAAGGCCAAGACGTCCGCCTCGGCTTCCTCGGGCACCCAAATGTCCATGAACATGTTTCTCACCGCACGGCCTGCCAACAACAAGGCGAAGGAGAATGAGAAAGAGACAGAGAGAGAGAAAGGGGACCCGAACCCACCCACTGTGCTGGCCACGCCAGAGACAGAAGCTGTGCATTCTGCTCTCGACGAAGCGGCCACCACCGCTGCCGCCAACGATGACGACAACATGTGGATGACGGCCGAAGAAGTCGACGCCGCCTTCCGCAGCCTCGACGCGGCCAAGGCGTCGTGGTCGCGGCTGGGCCTCGGCCAGCGCCAGACGCCGTTGTGTGAGCACGGCGAGCCCTGCAAGACATTTGTGACCAAAAAGGCTGGCGTCAACAGCGGGCGCTCGTTCTACATGTGCGCCCGGCCGCCGGGTCCGCTGGGCAAGCGCGAAAAGGGCACGGCGTGGCAATGCACCACGTTTGTCTGGTGCCGCGACTGGCGACCGGACCGGCCCGAAGTAGAAACAAAGTAGAACCATTGTACACTACAATGATGTAAATGAAAATGCATACCGTTACATGCAAAATGATTTGTGTTTTCAAGATAATTTTATGATCGTTTTATTGAACTTATTTATGTTTCTTACTTTATGCACTTGTTTTTATCTTTTTTTAAAAAAATTAAGTAAATACGTAAAACAATATGTTTTTTCATAGAAAATCCACGGATTTGTCTCGTTAAATATAACAAAACCTGAAAATTACCATAAACTATTGCTGTTGAGAGAAGTGTTTTGTATTCATTGAATGTAGGCGGCCTAAACGACCACCGCTGAGGAACAAAATATAAACCAAAGTTGAAAATTCCAACGCCATGAGAGCTGATAATAAGATGTTAACCAAGTAGGAAATGAAACAGCGGGAATGATCAAAGTACACATGACATAACAAAACAAAGGTACTCCAATCCGTGCGTATTGTCCGATGACTGATGACATTAGACTGAAAATCGTCAAATCCGGAACAATAGAAACCCATTTCCCCCAAACAAAAGAAACATCCCACAAGTAATTAATCATAGCCACGGCTCGAAGTCGTGGAATCAAGTTGTACAGTACCGGCTGTGCTGTCAAACGGTCCATGCAAAAAGTTTACCGAAAAGAAAAAAAGAAAAAAAAGACGACAAGAAAATGAGAGCGTCGTTGAGGAGAGCGCGTGTCACGGACTATGTGGCACATTTTGTCTATGCTGATTCGCCAGCCGTTGCACGCACGACATCGCCCTTGCAGATAGGACAGGTACGCCGGCGTGTGGTTAACCAAGGGGTGCTAGAACATGTCAGCATGAGCAGCACGGCGAAAGTAGCAGATCGGGCAGTCAGGCAGGGGAGATCAAAGGGGAGATCAAATACGTACATGCAAGATTCGTGGAACTCGTGGCCACAAGGTAGGCTCATCACGCGGTCGCCGGCCACATAGTCTTCCAGGCACACCACACACTCGACCTGGAAATACCGGGACGGCGGGTGTGGTTCGGCTGGGGGAAGGGTCACGGTCACACGGCGCTCATCGCCTGGCACGCCTGTCGTCGTGCGCGAACGAGGCCGCTGTAAGAGCGGAGTCGTCAGTGTAGGCTCCAGTGTCGGCGGGCTAGGTGAGCGAGCCGGCGAGGAGAGTGGGCTGGCAACGGCAGAGCCGAGAGGCACGGCGATCGGGGCCGGTGGTGCTGCGCCCGGCGGCACGTAGATGTGGACCGGCAGCTGCTCGACGACGGCCTTTGGGGCGCGCCATGCGCGGTACCGGTAGTGGGTACGGATGAAGATCAAAATACCCGTAATGACAATGATGGCCAGGAGGGGGCTGGCAATGACAACCAGCAGCGTGTCAAGGAGGGGAAGGGTGCTCCGTGTGGGTGCAATGGTCACAAAGAGCACCTTTCCCTTGCCCTTGCCGGGAGAGCCTGTGGATGTGGGGTCGGCACCAGTGGCGGTTGACGTGGACGTGGGAATGTACTCGTCAAGCACCCACTCTCGCGGCCGGGTCTTCCAGAACCAACTGTCGTCAGCAGCATCCGTCTTTTCGGGCGCGGGCGCTGTTGTCGTTGTCTTGGTCTTGGTCTTGGTTTCAATGCCAGGAGCTTTCTTAAGGCCCGTCTCGTCGTCTTGCACGGCTTCAACCAGCGCTGTCAACAAATGGGCCGTGGTGTGTGCTGTGAACACGGACGGAATGGTGACAAACGAGGTGTCCCCACTGGCGTACATCTGGATGAGAGGCCCGCCTTTGCGGTCGTCGCCCACAATCACGCCGACGGCACCGCGCCGTTGTGCCCACATGACTTTGGCCAGAAACCCACAGCCGCCCCTCCTAAGGAGCACAATCTTTCCGGCAATCTCAGCTCCTTCCTGCAGAGACTGAATATCACTGTGGTGCGGCACCTTGCTGGCTGCTTTGTCATGACGGCCAGAGTCCTTCCAGGACACATCTTTGCGTGCTCCGCGTGGGCCATATGCCTCAGCACCCGCAGTAAAGTCGGAAGCTGTCGGCGCTGAGTCGCCTCTGACACCAGCAGCATTGACAGCTGCAGCAGCACTCGTCTCAACTTCGTCAACATCGACATCGGCACCGACTGCGGTGATGCCGTCGGCGGCCTTACGGCTGCCTTCACGGCCGGGGGTCGTGACGCCCGCCTTGGCATGGACGGTTTTGTGGAGGTTGCGGAAGTACGTTCCCGAGGAGTAGTCTTCCAGGTAATTATCCGTGCCGTCGTCAAAGAAGCCGTCGGTAGGCAATACTGGGTTACCATCGGCGGCACGCTTCCCATCCCAGCCAGGGACATCACTGCAACCGAGTTCGCCCTGGGGCTCGACGCCGTCTTCACCAAAGCCTGCGCCGATCCACAGCGCTGCGCTAAGGCCGTCTTCTGGCAGCTCGGGGCCGAAGGTGGCTGGCCGGGCCGGGAAGAACGTGCTGTTGTCCTCGGTGAGAGAGATGGCAGCGTTCGGTGGGAACAGCTGGAAACCAGGGACGCTGGAGATGTGAGGTCGGTGATTTCGAGGGGGCACGGGATAGCTGTCGGCAGCTATGGCGCGGACAATGACAAACACCGTCACCGTGCTCGCGGCCAGCGCAGAAAGGGTACGAACAAGAAGCGCCATGGTGAAGCGATATCCGCAAAAACGAAAAGGACAAGTATAATAAAAAAAGAGCGTATTTGGGTATAAAGTAAAAGCAAGAACAAAAAAAAAAGGCTTAGTGCAAGAGTGCGTATACGCAACACGAGGCTAATGAAAAATGTTGTCGAATGCGCAACTGGTGTCGCTGAGGTGTTTTGAGAACAGATCAAGATTGCTTGAAAGTCTGGTTAAGAAAACAACGAGATGCACAAGGTAGGTGTGAAAGACGAGGCAATAAGGCGCCGCAGAGATCTAGCAACAGTGTGTTAGTAGATAGATCAAAATCAACACTCAAGGCATCACTGGCAGGAAAGCAGGGCTGACAAGAGGGACCAGAACACAAGCACACAAGGTACAGCAGAACGGAGGCCCAGATATAGACCACGGGGCACAGAGTGAAATCGTATGCAGGCTCTGTCCGACCCCTCATCTCGTGCGCCGTGCCTTCCCCTCGCCATTCTCATTTCCCTTGATGTTTCCGACTTACTCTATGGAGCGCAGCGAAAGCGAACACGAGGTACGACCATCCCAGGCTTGATCAAGCCTGGCCGTGCTGCAGCTGGTGGAAGGATGTCGGTGAGCGATGTATGGGCGTCGTTCGAGCGGCGTCCACGACACAGCGAGACTCAAGTCAGGCCGGGGAGATGCCCAACACCGAGCAACGACAAAATCAGACCAGCGCTGCAGTCCCTCCCCTCCGTATCTGCAGGTGTTCGATTGCGGTCGTACTGTGGGCAATGCCCATGCACGGATCCGTCTGGGCGGCTCGCTGGTTGGCTGTGGTATCTCAAGATGCAAGAAGCTGGTCACAAATGTGCTGCGACACAACACAGCAGGACAAGGCAGCAAGCGTGATGGGAGAGGAAAGCGGTGGCGATGTGTGATGTTGGAGACAGAGGGCGAGTCGGTGAGAGGCGAGGGGAAAAGGACGGTTCCGACTGCGGAAATTGTCGTACAGGGCAAGGATGTTTGTCGCTTCGCAAGAGAGGTTGGGGAGGCAGGCGGTTGCACAAGACGGTAGCCCGATATTAAGTCGCTGCAGAGGGCACGCAACGTCTGCACGAAAACATCGGCCGTTGGACGGAAATCGTCGGTTGGACGAGGGTTTGTTTGAGAGACGACGAGAAAAAGAACGGAAGAGGCCGGTGCGGCGTTGAACGCTGCCGAAATGTACGAGCACAAGGCGACGATAAGACGTGGGGTGATGGAGGATGGCGGTGGAGAGTATCGGTCAAAGGACGCAGGCGTCGAGGCGGACGAGGCTCTTGGGCAACGCACGCAAGCGAACCACCGCGCAAGCACGACAGGGTGACTGCACTTTTGCCAAGATATCCGGTCGCAGCAGCCGCTATCAGACTAAAACGCGCGTTACCAACGGGGGCGAAGGAAGGCCGCCAAGTGGAAATATCCGTCGGACGACACGCTGAATTCGAGTGGGCTGAAAATGCAACAAGACGGAAGAAGATAAACGAAAACAAATATATGGAAAGTGGCGAGACAATATGAGACGACAACCGTTGGGATCTCGGGGACCAACAGCCCGCTAACAGCCGTGGAGAAGCACGAGAGGGCGGATGCTGCAGGGTCGCAACATAAAGCCTACGACGTGAAATGGGGAGAAAGACAAGAATAAGAAGAAGACAAAGAAAAAGAAGATCAAGACGATACAGAAAAGAGGTCAAAACGGAGTCACTAGAGAACTAGAATAGCAAGTGCAAGGTACGGAAGAAGACTCACGCGGCAGGAACGAACCTGTCAAGCAAAACGCAGGACAAGGCAGGTGCTGCGATAGATGTCGATCAAGGCACGCGAGAGGGGCACGCTGATGATAGCGCCTGAGGGATGGCTCCTTTTGGGAGCACCAGTGCGCTGGTGATGCGTCGTCAGGTGGCGCCTGAATGGTCACTTGTGCAAAACAAAGGCGTAATTGCCCAGTGGTCCCAAAACAGGCAAGAGTGGGCCCATCCAAGCGCAAGTGACGTTATTCAGATGCGATGCCCGTGGTTGGAGCGGACCGAGTGTTTTTCCGGTACCAAGCAAGACTTGGTCAGTTGGCCAATCACAACGCAGTACGGCTGGTGGGGCCGCGGTAATGGGAGTGGCCTGATTTGGCGTGCGCTTTGAGTGTGGTGCTGCTTTTGCGGGAAAAGCTTCGTCTCCCGAGAGCCGGCGGTTTTTCCCTCTTGACCTGACTTCTTACCGTCCTCGTCCATTGAAGATTGCCTCACCAGCAACGAACCACGATCCGTAACAACACCACATCGCCACTCCTTTGTATCAATCGTATCTACAATGCTCCGCGCTGCCATCGCCCGCCGCGCGGGCCCGGCTGCCCGTCGCATGTACTCGACGCCGACCACCGGTGCTGCCGGCGAGAACGCGTTCGTTCGCGAGCGCCGCGCCGTCAAGGAGCACGCCGCCCAGACGACCAGTGAGTAGCCCTGTTGCAATGGCCCATGATGCATGGACAGGAGCGTCTTCTGTCGTTGGAAGAGCGCACGTCAATGGCACAGCATCGCTAACCGTATACCTAGACCTGTGGAAGAACATCTCCATCTTGTAAGCTCCCTCTACATCCTACATTCTCGCCCTCAACATTGCCCTCTCTGTCACTCGCCCTTCCGATAACGAGCCGCCGAACCACCCGAGTGATCGAATCGCGGATCGTTTGCGAACAATACGGATCCCACCGACGTGCCCATCGCCGACATACCGCTTCCTTTAATTCGTGCTGCGCCCACGATGATTTCGACCAATCCCGCCGCTCGACCGTTCACATATCACTTCCACATTGCTTTAGCCATTACTAACCATCGGGAAACAGCGTCGCCATCCCTGCCCTGGCCGCGTCGGGCTACAACGCCTATCGCCTGTACAAGGAGCACTGGGAGCACTGGGAGCACCTCCCCCCTCTGGAGGAGCGCACCGAGTACCCATACCAGAACATCCGCACCAAGAACTTCATGTGGGGTGACGGTGACAAGACTCTGTTGTAAGTATTAAGTTGGGGGGACAAGTGAAAGATGAGAGACCAGAGGGGAGGAAGCGACCAGAGGAGCAGTCGAGACGACGGTACGGGAACGACAGTTGACCATATGAACTGACACTAACTCTCCCGTTTAGCTGGAACGAAAAGGTCAACTACCACAACAAGGACAAGGTCGCTTAAAGTTGCCGTTTGGGCTTGCTTTTAGAGTGACCAATGTAGCACTACTGTGGTACTATGTTGGCGGGAAAGAGGAAACTGACCAGGGGTGAGGAGTGTGGGAAGATGAGGGTTTTGCATAGAGTGGTGCGTTGTATTGGGTGGTCTTTGCTCAGAGCATGTTGGATGCCGTGCAAGCACACGCACAACATCACATGAAGGCCCCTACATGGACGGGTCGTTTAATATCATCAGAAAATAAATCCATACAAAGCATCTGCTAAAGACAAAGAACGCCTCGCCAAGTCTGTTGGTAAGCATTGCCCCTTTGTGAGAGGTCGGTTGGCGAGTGACGCACGACGAATACGAACGAGATAGAGTGCTCTGGTGTTCCCCAGACTGGTATATTTGCAAGCTCGTCCCGATCCCGTCCTGCACGTTAAACTCTGTACAACGCATGCCTAGGAAGATTCGTGAGTTGGTCGGATAGGACTTTGCCCTGTGACTTTCTTAATTGCAGACAGCATCGACTTCTGCTCCTACCCACTCTGATTTATGTTACCTCTGGGGAAATACCAGGATGTTTTTGTTCGTGTGAAGATGAGTTGTGTAGCGGAACACTTCACAGAGGCGTATGAAACTAGACATGGTCTCTGATACATAGGAGAGCATGAGTCGACCGGCGAAATTATATTTTATTTATAGCGAAAAACATAAGCTACCCGTTACGCATTATACTAAATCAGAGAAAACAAGGAATAGAAGGAAAACGGCGAGCAAGAACAAAGAAAATACACCACTAAAACAAAACAGAGAGTGCAAAGACTGGAGCAGAACCAATTAAGAGAACCACAAAAACAGGAAAAGAGACAGATAAAGGGGGTGACGAACAATAGGGAATCGGGCAAGTAATACGGAAAATAGAAAGAAAACAATGGTAAAGATGCACCAGGCATCCCACCTGCCACTACAGTTCACTTCGTAGCACCAGTCTACGCGCCGGTGCTGGCATTGGCTCCACGTCCAGTACAGTGCAAGGTGGATAATCTGGTCGATGCCCGTGTATGAGGTTTTCGGCTGATAGGAAGCTGTGGCCGGACTGTCATCGCAGTGGCAGGCAGCGGAACACGGGACACAGGACGTGAGAACGACTGAGCCGCTGATGTGCCAACGTCCACACTACCGGCAATATTGGCAGTAGTAGGGGCCGGCCTATTTGGCGGGCCTGGTGCCGCATGAACTGCTTGTGGCCCCTGTAGAGGATGTCAGTAACATGTCGACGCGAGTACCGTTCATTACGTTTACTAAGTGCGGATATAGACTCACCACAATAAACATGGGAAGGATGCCATTCTGGCCAACATTGAGCTCTGCGGTGCTCATTGGCCGATTGGGCTGGCCACGCAGCGACTGGGAAATGGTGGCCCGCTCAAAAGGAGATGGAGCGTGGGCCTGAGACATGGAAGGTTGAACGTCTGCTGCTTGCGTCGCTACAGACTCGTTCACTTGGGGAACCTGAGCCTTACCTCTCGCCTCGGCCTTGGCCCGGGCCTTGGCAATGGCCTCGCCCCGTTTCTGCGCTTTAGCTATGCGGGCCATCTCGCTCTCGACCGAGAGCGGCTGTTTGTTGCGGCGGGAGTACTCAGTTAGGCCCTGGGACATTTTCAAGACAAACTCGGACCCTGTGGCGGCGTCAGAGTTGGCAATCACCTCTGCTGCGTAGACGTTGAAACAGGGGACAAGAACCTCGCCGATAGGTGTGGGAATAACGCATGGCCGGCCGAGGGTCGGCGGTACCTGACCGGGCCCCGTGGGAAAGCGAGGGATCCGGGCATCGTACTGACCATTGGCATCCATGTCGTAACAAATCTCCGTCTCTTTCTTTCTCTCTTGATTTTCATGTTGAGTTTGTGTCTGCTGTGGCGATGCCTGGGCCGTGAATGATGGCTGTTGTTTGGTACGCTTTAATGGAGACGATTCATCGCCCTCGATCTCGACCACTCGAGTGTGCTTATGGGGAGACGACGTGGTCGGAGTTTGCACGTGGACAGAGACAGGAGGCAGGAACTTGATCCCAGTGCTAGGCACAGCAGTTTTCTGGGGTGCGGGGACGGCATTGAAAAGAGGAGGAGGAGGAATAGATTTCCGGCGACTAATACCGGACACAGGATGTACAGTCCCAGAAGACTGCGAGACGCGGCGGGATTGTGGACGTTTGGCTTGTTCGACGCTAGACTCAGACGTACTGGTGCTCGGCTTGGGATCTTCAAGCACAATAGAAACTCGTCGAGGCTGCTGTGATTTGGATTTGGGTGTGGGCTTGGGCTTGTTTTTGTGTACCTGGAGAGCTTGGGGAGCCTGGGGAGCCTGGGGAGTCACGGGGACCTGGGGAGCCTGGGGAGTCACGGGGACCTGGGGTTGAAGAGGCCCGACAGGATCAAAGGGAAGTGGAGGAGGTGGGAAGGGCACGGTTGTAATGTCTGCCACCGGCAGCCACGGAAAGTTCACAGAACTGCTCTCAAATGATGCCGGAGCCCACTGGGCGGGTGCCTGTAGCATGTTGGGATGCTGAACAAAGGGGATGTAATTACCATGCGAGTTTGGCTCAATTTGTGGCACAGGCGCGGAGCCGACATTACCAACATGTCCTGCACCCACCACTGCTGGCGTGGGGTTCGCCGCTGTACTGGCGAATGCCATGTCCATGGGCATATTCATGGTTGGATCCATTGTCGGCTGCGTCGTGGCGGGTGCAAAGACGTTCGTGGCGGGTGCAACAGTAAAGGGAATGTTCCATTGTGCTGCCTGAAGAACGCTGGAATCTTGGGCACTCACAAAGGGCGTATTGCTCGAGACTGCACCAAGGGCTGCCGTCTCCGCAGTTGCCGGAGGCAGATAAGCCTGCAGGTCACTGTGGCCCATGAGCGATCCGTACATGGCGATGTCACTGGGAGTGAAGTTCAGAGTGCCTGAGTTTGTAGTCGTGACCGCAACGGGCGCCTCCACCAAGCCACCAGATGAGGTGCGTGGAGACATGTGCATCTGATTCGAGGAGGCGTCCGTAATGTCCGTCACCCCAGTGGAGGACGACGTGGTTGGTGACAAGTCATTCATAGGCTGTACTATGGGAAACTGGTCGAAAAATGCCTGCATTGTTGGTACCGTCATGGGTGCCGCCACGGGCGCCGCTATGGGTGCACCACCCATATTCGCAGTGCTCATGATCATCTGTGTGGGTGTGGGAAAGGCAAAGGAAGCGGGTGCCGCGAGTGCAGTGGGCGCCGGCGTGCTTTTCGCTTCATCAATCCACATGGCGGAGTCGGACCGTTCACCTGTTTTCATAGCGGCATTCCAAGCACCGTCTTGTAGGTTGGACTGCTTCTGGCGGCGCTCAGGATAAGCGGCATCCTCGAAGGAGCTGTCTGGACCAAAGGCGCCGGCGTATGCGTTTGTTTTCATGTCAATGGACTTGGCAGGATCAGTCCACTTAGGTTGGACCTGGGGGTCAACTGCAGACGAGGAAGTGGTTGTGGTAGACCAAGAAGTTGTGGTTGGGTTGGCCGAGTTGGTCATTGTAGATGTCGATGTTGGCGACGAAGACCAAGCCGTATTCGGGATGGTATACGAAGTCGTGCCAGTTGTGGCATCCGGTGCGTTAGTGTTGATAGGCATGCTGCTGGTGTTGCTTATGTTGTTGTTTGATGCAGATGTGACAGAGGTGTCTACCGCCGTATTCTGCGGCAAGGAGGATCCGTCCGGGGGCACTACGTCGTCGTGACCAGCCGCCTGGTTGACGATGGCGACTTGGTCCGGATGAAGGGGAATCGTGTATCCCATGTTCTCTATACCGAGGCTCAGAGTGAACGCGCCTCCACCGTGCCCATCTGGCTGAAATACCCAGCCGTTGGTGTTACTGTGTTTATACTGGCCAGGGGTCACAGCCATAATGAGAAAGGTGCAAGATTTTGTATTGAATTTGTTTTCTGAAGAGAGTAGAAATGGCGTACCCGTATATAAGCTCTTTTATCGTCAGCAGGGTACAAAAGAAGGTAAAAGAGTACTGGAGAAGGAATGCAGAGAGATGAAGAGTTTGAGCAAAAAGAAAAGAAAGGAAGGCCGCAGAATATTTACCCAACTCGCGAGTGAGGGGACCACGAGTAGATATATGATATTTCGGTAGTGGAGAAGGGAATGACCAACGGGGAGGAGGGGCAGATATTGGGAAAATAAACTCACCAACTGGACGTTGAAAGGAAGAGCACGGATGCCGTACGGTAAATAACGAATTAAGTGACGAGCTACTTGACGGATGCTCAGAGTGTGGGACAGAACAAGGGAAAGTCAAGAAGTATGGTGGTCGAACTAAGATGTCGTTGATAAAGGATGACCGTACTGGGCGATACTTGACTGACAACAGAACATCAACCTTAGATGACGAGAGACTGTGCGTAGACGGAATACTATTGATGTGGTTCAGCCGCGTTGGTGTGTGTGTGTCTTCCCATCACGCTCTGTCCGCAGGGATGGGCGGTGGGCAACTGCGGCCTAATCACCAGAAGGAGGAGGAGAGAAAGAAGAAACAAGTGATCCCCTAAAATGAATAGATAACAGAGGGCTTGATCAGAGAGGGACTTATGCATAACAGAAGCGTGGGAACAGTCGACAATAAAGGGAACAGGATGTGGTAGCAAGCATTTTTTCTGCGTCAGCCGTCAATATTTATGAGAGGCAAAGGATAGAAAGGACATAAATACGACACAAGATGAAGAGCAAGCAGTGTGCGTTCCTTTCAACCAAAATGGTGCCAGCCTTGGTGACCGTGTCTCTTGATTTGGTACAAAAACCAACAAGAACCGTCATGAAACAAGAAAGCAAACGAGATAAATTTGCAATATCTGGAAAGACAATAGCTATTAGCAAGGGCGCTGTATTGCTTTGTGACCGTGATCGATTATGTTCAGCGGATGCTGTAGTAGTAGAGTTTGTGTACTCCGTAGAGCACCACGGAATAGATTTCTCGCCTTGTTGGTCCCATACTGGCGGCGGCTTACCGTGGTATGTGGGAGTTGGTCCAAAACAGGTCTACCATGAGTATCAGGGGTAGAGAAACGCAAAGGGATCACTACACGAAAGATGGAAAACGCCGCGGGAAACGCACAGAAAATCGAAAAAAAAAGACAAGGAGGGAAGGGTGGGCCGGAAGACGTGGAAAAGGGAAGTGTGACAAAAAGACCAGGAATGGCGACGGATGCACCTCGACGTGGACGTCTAGGGTCTTCCGAGGAGTTATCGGAACCTCTGGGTCACACACTCGTGTCCTGGGGTCTGAAAGAGGGAATTTGAACAAACGCGAGAAAGCACAAACGGCGTAGAGGTGCTAGAGAAGATTGAAGGAAAGGAGGAGAATGCAGGAGCGCAGAGAGACGCATAGAAAAGAGCGAAAAGGTGAAGAGGGAGGTGGTGCAAACGAGAGACGGGACTGTACGAAGACAACATTCGTCTAGACCGCTCATGGGGTGACACCTGATGATGAAGAAATGTGATATATGATTTCTGAAGCAGAGAACTCATACATAGGAAACCACATACGAGGTATCAAAAAGAAAACAAGGACAGGTCAACCAACGAGAGGACTGTGTTGCCCGAAGCAAATTAGACGCAAACAGAACAGGTAGGGTGGAGGGGCCGACGAGATGTTGATGTTGGATTTCTTCGGCGTGTCACACGGGTAGATGCACGGCTGTGCTTCGTGGCAAGAGTAAAGTAAGAGGTGAAAGCGAAGAATGTGAGCGAATGATCCGAAGCGTGTGCGATGTCAGGGGGCCAATGAAGCATTCGATGTGAGGAGACGTGGGCATTGTGAGAAATGAGACACAAAACTCGCAACAAGAAGACAACAACCCAGGGGCCAGATGGCGGGAGTATGGTGGGATGTGGAGAGGAAGACATGAGGCGAAATTCGAGCAGAAAAAATGAAGCTGAGGTTTTGCTCTTCAATGATGTCCTCTGTGTTTTGGAGGAAATAGTGAGTGGCTTTCAGCTCAGTGCCGAGCACGATTTCCTGTTCGGGAGTCTAAGGGAGGGGAGACAGCCTTCGCTCTTTCCCGTGTTAGTGGTGGGGGGAAGACAAAGTGTTTGGCAGGAACGAACTCTGGCGGGCCAGGAACGGAAAGAATAACAATAAGGTCAATCCAGCCCACAGTAACCATAGCAGACCACCTTACAGCAGGTGAAAAGTGCAAATTAGCACATTGCAGCGCAGAGATTTGCTCCGTAGGGCAGGTACGACGGTGAAATTCAGCACAAGGCACAAACATCTTGCCTTGACACAGAGGGCGGCTCTTTCCTGGACTATTATGGGGCTCTCGCATGAATAGAGGTTGCTCCAAGAGCCTGCCCAACCTTTTTCGTTTACTTCTTCTTCCTTTGCCCGCGAACAAGTCTTATCTCCAAAACACAATACTACCGACTTTTAAGCGAGAGGCACAACATACGGAAAGCTAAGAGAAGACATAAACACAACTGGTAAGTAAATTTTATCCAACCTTGACACAACGGGAGATACGATGCGGCGTTTGTACTGTACGTCGCTTCTGGGACACAGACAGCCCCCTTGCATCCTTTCGTTCCAAGATGCAGACTGGTTAATAGGTCTGCAGTCGGATTTAACTCGTGCAGAATGCAGGACACAGCGCCTTGTTCCTTTGTTACCTGGTTCTTTGACCTACCCATCGACATGTTAGTGGCATGCGGTGCTGGGCCGATGCAAGCGATACGACACAATCACGGCGCTGCATGCTAAGACCATATCCACGCGACAGGGAGTCCGCAAGTGACGCTTCTTTACAATCACCGTTAGCCCACGTTGCCGGCACTACAAGGGTTAGCACAAGGTATTACGGAGGCTCATAGAGATAAGGTTCCCATCCCATCTAACATTCTCAAACCCACTTGTGTAAACCCAGACAGTCGGACTGCTGGTACCGACAATCACTCATATCTCCTGCAACAATACATAGCCCAGAAGGGACTACGTCCCAGAAAGGATGACGTGATGGCTTTTGACCCTTTCCATTTGTGTTCTCAAGATGCACTGGAGGCGAGTACTGCATACGTACAATATGCCCCCACACTTCTGCTTATGAGCAGCGTCACTGTTGACAGCATTTTCCACTTGGACGACCGTCCGCTAACCAGTAACAAGGTATATGCAGCGCAAGACATAGCAAGAGAGGGTGCATGAGGGAAGGGGGGTTTCCGAAAGCAAATACGGGCTCCGATATGAACCAACTTTATCGATTGACTTCGTCGTCCCCCCTCTGTTTGCTTCAAGACGCTCGCAAGCTTCCCCGATTGGTCTGGACCTGGGCCACCCTCAATACTCCCCTACGAGGTCGAATAATAATCGAGCTTGCAATGACTTGCAGTGCATGCACTCACCCCTGTTTCCCATCGTGTCTCCCAGTCGTTTTATTTGCCTCCCAGCACCCGGGCAGGTATGTCCTTCAATAATTCGTATTGTGGAACCAACTGAGCTCGGAGAAAGCCTCACACACCCTCTCCAATTAGCAACTTGATAGTTTCAAGACATTTCCTAGAAAATGTACAACCGGTACTTCTGCCAAGAGACAAGTGTCATACAAAGCCCCATGCCAAACGCCTCGAGTTGCAAATACGTTAGGTCCACCGCTTGTCCTTGGGCACTGGCTCGAATAGGACTTTGTTTATATTCTTTATCTTGCCACTCGGTGGCCCCTCTGCCTGCAGGCTCCCGAAGCGTGCAAACGAAAAGTGGTCATATGAGCCTTTGTTTTTGGACAGCAAATCCATTTGACAAAAGTAGCAGCTCAAACTGTCCATCTAGTCGCAGGTGCCATCCCGTCTTCAGCGCATGCCCGGGTGTCATGCTATGTGTAGCCAGCACAGCAGTCGTCGTTGGCTTTTTTTTTTTTTTTTTTTTTTTCTAGTAAATGTCTTGGGTGGGTGGCTCCTTCACACACTCTTTGCACCTTTCATCTTCCGTTCAATCGCTGGTCTTTTTGCCTCACTTTTGCCACACGTTCTCTATTAAGTTAGACGTGCTGTGAGAGCCATCTGCAACTGCCCGCAAAGCTGAAAAGAAAAGCATAACCACGGCATATTGCATATCTAGAGGCAATTTTGCACCCCTGCAATAAAGTTCATGACTCCGGCGTCACACGCGGACGACAAAATTACAGAGTATGGCGCGCGGGGTTTCGAAGCTGGCTGATGTGCTGGCAGATGCAGGGCTCGACTAGCTGGCCATTCTTCGACTTCTCCCCGTTTGCTCTCAATGCTTCATCAGTTTAGACAACACGGCCTTGCCAAGTCGCTTTTCTCCCCTTCGCAGGTTAGTACGCACGCTCAATTTGGAAACCACCAGTGAGCGACGTCAGGACAACCTTTTCTCCACCAACACTACTTTCGCACCACCCGGGCCGAGCCTCTGCTAGTCCAGTGATTGGCAGGATAGTGTGAACAGGGGGAGGAAACAAATCACCGTTACTACACAGTGCGGCATGGATCACTAACAAACAGGGCAGGGATTATTGGTTCAAAAGAGACAAGCAGATGCCGTTGGTTTTCAGATGCCCTGGTCCAGTCCCGCGAAATGACGCTGCCTTGTTGGAGAGAGAAAACATTCGTCTCTAATACCAGTGACGGCGAGGTACTTGGCACCTTGCCCTGGCCACTCAAGATAGATCCATCCAAGTCAGCACGCAATGTGACAAACAACCGGAACACACGACCCAGACGCAGAGAGCAGAGATGCACCTATGTCTTTGCTTTCTCCCCGGCTGGATACTTTCTCGAGGCGGTCATAGAATCTGCAGTTCGACTCGCTCTAACTCTCGTTCTCGCCGCAACAGGCGGTCACCATTCCGCATACACACGCGTTGGATGACAATGGCCTTATCGGCTCA